AAGTTGATGAGGAGGAGGAACTGATGAGTCCGCTATGAAATTGGACGAGGAGTTATGCGGAAAGGTTTCGTTTACAACGTAAATGTGCATATGGTATGGATCCAAGTCAGACCTTCCCCTCTTTTGCCAACTCTTCGAATGGAGTCAAGATATCCTCTTTCACGCATAGCATTTTAGGTCGTGATCCAATGATTGAATGACAGACAGTTGTTTTCATACAGTAGTTCAGGTAGAGATACTCCTTTACGATGTGGGGAATTTAGGGATAAAAGGTGACGATGAGATGTATTCATTTTGAGAGGGTGATTGATGGATGATGAGTCTGACTTTGTTAATATATTTAGGTAGGAAGGTAGGTAGGAAGGTAGTTGGGTAGTGGATGGCGAACATGTATGTATGCATTCAAATTCATACATATCAATGTAACGTAGGGAGTATCAACAACGATCAATTGTATAAAGGTATCGTACTCACGGTTATCAACAGGATCCACTATTTGATGAGAGGAGACACACAGATCATGTAGGGTATAGGGAGATGCTTCCCAAACTCTAATCGGCGTCAAATGTTTTAAAAGATGCAAGCAGTTAAGTTGGCTTTATCTCTAATGCCCTCATTTCCGTAAGGAGTTGGAAATGTCTACGCAGTACCTTTTGAACTTTTGAATCCATCCGCTGCCGCACTCGTACCATTTTTCTGGAAGGTTAAAAAAGAGAGGCATTGTTGATCAAGTGGGGCTCAAAGGGAAGGGGCCAAGGAGAATAAAGATTAATATGGGAATAGCCATCTGACCAATGAGATGGCCGGATAACGACACTCTATCGCATCAATGCTACTTATTTTAGAATAGATGCAATAGATAGGGTAAAAACTTGATTTATACCCTGATGTCGATTTTACAACAATAATATATAAACCCTGTAATAATAATAAGTAAAGTCAAGTTCGAGGCAATTGATATCATGAATCCTTGAAGAATATGTATTCATTTGATTAACCCGTCTTCATTGTCATCCTGTCAGTGTTAGGTAGTAATGAAATGAAATGGAATGGAATGATATGATTCCCTAACCCGCCTTTGATGTACAGCCGTCCCAGCAGAGAGTGAGAGTGAGAGTGAGAGTGAGAGTGAGAGTAGGGTGTCTTTCTACCCCGATGTGACCCGTTATCGTATTTCGTCTTTGACCTTCCGCCTTTCGCCTTCGTCAACGTATTATCTCCAATAACCTCACTTCACCTGGATAGAATTTCGGATCGACTCTATCTCTTGCCAAAATCGTTCAAGCTCTTGAGAAAATATCAATGCATACCATACCATACCATACAACGCCAGTGCCACACACACACAACACAATCAAAGCCACATCCCATTCAATCCAATCGAGTCCAGTCCAATCCATCCTAACCCCACCCGCGCATCCATGAAGAATGATAATATCCAAGCATCAACAATGAACAAGCATCAACCAGATCAATCAATCCATCCATCCATTCATCCATCCATCCATTATTCATTCAATTCACCACCACATTCAAGGTTCCAACTTGTAAACCAACTATTGACATCTCCCCCTCCCTCTCTAACCCCTCTCCTCCCACTTCAACTCCAGACAGACTAGGACCAAGCACTCACTCCTCTCAATCCAAACATGCATCAATACAAAATTCACCTCACCTCACTTCACCTAACCTAACCTAGGCCAAGCAAAGCAAAGCATTAAGCCATCGTAAGCCAAAAAAGAATCCACTAATAAATCCATTCTAACCCTCTAACCCTCCAATCCGTCTAACCAACCCACTTTGTATATATCAAGGTTATTTTTTAGAATCCTGGTTCATCACTTTTTGAACCTCTGGATTCTTTAGATTCTTATTAGTCTTGGATTCTTCGTTTCTTCTCCTCGTTCTCCTCTTTCTCCAACTTTTCGGTTTAACTACTAGTTGACTATTTGAATATTTGAATATTTGACTATTTGATTGCTTCATTGAATAGTCATTTAATTGATTAAATAAAAGCTGTTCTAGCTTACTTTACCATCCATCATCTTTTACCTTGTCTTTTGCCTTGCCTCACCTACCTTACCTTACTACCTACCTACCTACCTACCTACCTACCTACCTGGTCTCTTGTCTTGGCTTGACATCCCATTCAAATTCAATCATCACTCCGATCCACCCACCCGATCCCGCTTTTTTCTACCCTCCACGCCAACCCAAGCCATCCATCAACCCAAGCCATCCGTCAATCCATCCATAATCCCACACACACCCACCCATACAAATAATTTCATTCTAGGCCAACCCATCTCATCTCCTTCAAGGCTTCAACCTATTGAATAACACCTACCTATCATCGCCCATATCCGAGAATTCCCTCTTTTCTTTATTCTTCGAGGAACAATCAAACAATCCAATATTTTATTTTATTTTCGGGAGCCATATTTCTACGAATAACATCGAAATTAAGGAAAAGGAAGAGAGAATTGAATCAACTAATTGCTGCTATTGCTACTTTGCTGTTTGCCTTGATTTGATTGATCGGTAATAATTCACAAGACAATCATTCAAGCATTCACGCATTCCAGCATTTTCACCATACATCACCGTACGCCGTACTTCCGATATCAAACATCAATCAATCACCTCATACCAAACACACCACTTATTATTACTACATCTCGACATTGAAAAGACAATCCAATTCAACCATCAGAACTTTGACATTATTCAAAATCAAGAACTAGATAAATGTCAAGAAACTAAGGATTTGACTTTTTGACTTCACTTCCGAGACACCCTCGAGAGATAGATTGATTACCCAACAAAACATTCTCATTCGAAACGCTTAAATTCTACGCCTCAATCAAAGCTTTGCCGCTTTCCTTATCGACTCTTTTGATTACGGAACGAAACCGGACATTAAATCTACGCAATCAACCAAACTTTCCCATCTTATTTATTTCTCTAATTCTTTTTTTATTTTTTTGTTTTTGGGATTTTTTTTGGAAAGGCTTTCTCGAGAGTTGCTTCCATCAAATCGAAAACATTATCTCTCTTTTTCGAAGCTTTTAGTCGCAGATTGGGACAAGAACGAAATAGCTGGAATACGCATTGGTTCTTTCTTATCTTGAACTTCTTACTTCTCTTCTCCCCCCAATCCGGAGTCACTTTTTTTCTGGGGTATTGAAAAAAATCTCCATTTCCTATGTAAGTTCCCACCCTCCCCCCCCCCCCCCCCCCAAAAGAAATTAAAAAAACATCCTATATCTACAACATCACCACGCAGTAGTAGCATCAGTTTGATTGCATCAATCTGTCTGTGAAAATTACCTACATGACACATACTCTCCCTCCACATCATCCATACATTCATACCACGTTTCCTAAAATCCTCTTTTTTTTCTTCATCTTCTCTCATGCAAGAATGAGAATGTAGCTGACCAGTCCTTTCCCCAACAAACAGCCCACAATTGTCAAGGATTCATTGGTCTTCTCTTCAATACTTAATGATAAGCCCAAACTAGGTTCGCTATCTTTCGACAAGCCCCCTCCCACCTCGAGTCGAATAGTTTTATCAATCTATCCAACATCTCAAAGAGGAAGAAGGAAAAAGAAGACAGCTGCTTGTCCAACAAATCTTTACACGTTGTAGGATGCCTTACACTCCACCCTCCCAACGGTCTCCTGCCAGCTCTACCACTCATTCCCCTGCTGTCTCGAGACGCTCCTCATACCAACTTAGCCATCATGCCCCAGCTCCCAGACCGGAGTTGCCAAGGTCCACTTCCTACCTCACTAGACATCGACGGACTCCTTCGGTTAAATCAACACCTTTTGGGCCAACACTAGACCCAACCCCTCCTGGCACGGCTGATAGTGAAAAGGGTCCAAGCCATGATACAAATAGTAGCTTGACTGCCTCTAGCAGTCTTCGACAATCACCCCCACCTGTTACAGACGATAACAAGATGCCTATCGGAGTAGTCATGTCACCGCCAGATTCCACTCAGAACTCTGATGAAGAGGACAATGGTTCAAGAGGGAGGAAGTTGGAAAATTTGGAGGAGTTACAAGCTGCTATTAGAGTCATCGAGCAACACCGAGAGAGTTCACCTAACCGGGCGTCATCAGAGATTGAGAGACTGACCCAAGCTATATCACTTCTACCCATCAACAAAGACACAAAGGAAACAAAGGATAAGCCAACGTCGGAGCACATTGAAAAGACCCAACCTCCTCGAAAGCTTCAACATCAAAGATCGAGCACGGAAACAGTTTTCCTCGATCTAAGAAGCAACCAGAACAACCAGTCGGCACCGGAGACCCCTACAACTGGCTCTGATGATGAGTTGAGTGATGAAGAAGCCGAGATGGCCAGAAGGAAGCCTCAGATGCTTAGGAAGAAGTCAGGAGAACTTGTTCGACCAGCTCTCCGTCCATCCTCTGCGAAGAGGCGCCCATCATCCATGCCGGGTACTCCTACATTCTCCAAGGCGGTTCATTTCGATTCACACCTCGAACATGTGCGCCACTTCCTTCAAGTCGATCGACCTCTCGCCGTCAGTGCTGGTTCTTCTCCGGTTGAATCATACGAAAGTGACTCGGAATTCCCATTCGGTCATGATGATGACTCCAACAACAGAGGACCACCTTTTGAATGGGAAATCATCATCTCCAACTTTCCACCCATGACTGCCTACCGAGCAGCGATGCCCATTCGTGTAGAGAGGGTTTTCCTATCGGCAGACAACAAGAACTTGATCGGAACTGTTGCTGTGACCAACTTGGCATTCAACAAGTTAGTCGTTGCAAGATTTACCTTGGATTACTGGAAGACCACATCGGAAGTCGTTGCTGAATACAACAATGATATCCGTCAACCGAAACATTCTGATGGATGTGATCGTTTTAACTTCAACATCAAGCTTGCCGACCAAGCTAACCTTGAAGCAAAGACGATGTTCTTCTGTGTCAAGTACTGTGTCAACGGTGTGGAATACTGGGATAATAACAACTCCACCAACTTCCAGATTGATTTCCGAAAGAAGGCCAAGTTGCAAAATGGAAAGAAGAGCTCACCAGCAGCATCAAGATCAGCCAACTCACTACCGAGAAGTAACAAAAGGTCACCACCGGCTGCTCCAATCAAGAAGTCGACTGCTTTTGACGACTTCTCTAATGACTTTGATTCCAAGTATCTGAACTCCAACTTCAAACTGCCGGTCGCAGATTACCTTGGAGACTCCAATACTGTAAGATTGAAGGGAGTCAAATCTGCTGTCACCTTGGCATCTGACAACCGCAGCCGACGTGCAACAATCAACACGAACACTGCAGGTGGTCAAGCCTTTGGTCACAGATATGACTTTGGTGCTTCTCTTAATGCTGCTATTAGTGCGGCTAACTCTTCCCTGGGTGAAAAGAGTGGTATCACCATGAAGTCAAAGAGACCTGCACCAATTAGTGAAACGAGAAAGTTTATCAACCATGATGAACAAGTATCACCACTTTCAATGTCAGCTCCAAAGACTTTTGACCACTCCACTCCATCCAAGACTTTACCTTCGGCGGGTACAAGCACAAGTGGAACAGATTCACCAAGACCCGTTGGTACTGAGAAGCCTGTACTGGCGTCACAATCATACAATGAACTTCTCGACAAGTATTGCTTCGTACGTACCAACGAACACCACTGGGCATAGTAAAGGGATTAAGCTAATTGAATATTGTATTATAGTTTGGGTCAGTGAAGAACTCGCCACAATTAAAAGATGGTACTGCGAGATCTGGTCAATATGATGGAAATAATGATGATGGTTACCTTTTTGGTTCCGTCGATTCAACGGCTAGCAATTCACCAATCACAATGCCACACATGAATCATCGATCTTCCTCTCATGGGGCAAGCCCTGAAGGTACTCGTTCCACATCGCCCGCTCCTATGACAGGCTTTGTTTCGGGTACGTCTCCGATGTATCCTTACCACATGCATGGTGGTTTTCCGTTCAACGACACTCATGCAGCAACAGCAATTCGAGGTTGAAACGAAACTCTTTGATGATGAAATTGTCAAATCAACAAATGAAACCTACTTACGATGACGATCATGAATACTCGAATCATGAAACGAAAATCTAATTCTCTCGAAAGGTACTTCTCGTATCCTTTGCGGATCAATCACCTCTTCATTGAGTTGTGACACCTCGATCCTTTACCAACCTTTTTCCTCTTCGACTGTTAATATATCTCTCTCCTCACGAATACGGCCTTCTCAATTCATATTTGTTTAGCATTTTTGCGAAGGGAGATATTTGGGCAGCATGCGAATGAAGGGAAAGATGATCATACTTCATGATCCTCTTGCTTTTACATTTTGCTATTGTACTTTTTAGCGTTCCTATTTTTCTTTGGGTGGTTGCGTTTTCTTTTCTTGCATGTCTTTTTTTTTTTTTTTTTCGCACTGCTGGTACTGCTACTATTGATTCAATTGGTTTGTTCTAATTTCGAATGAACCCGGTCATCATAGATTCTGGAGTTATCTGCTTTGGGGAATTGGGAGGCAAATCGTTTCCTCATCATTGATTGGGAATATCAAAGAGATGACCTCTTTTTTTCTTTTATGGGAAACGAAAGATTGATCCTTTGGTTATTGTACCGCATCGGATTGACGGTAGGAGGCAGAGAATGAATGGGGAGAACCAAAAAGTTATATTTATTATTGGATGGATGGAGGGACCCTGGTATATACGGAAGGGTAGGTGGAATGGTGATGGATGGTGGATACTTTGTTCATACAAAATGATGGTTATTTTATTTCTTTTTTTTTTGGGGGGGGGGGAAGGGGAGTCGAGGATGATTTGAAGAATTCCAGAGATATTGGAAGAACTAACCAGTGAGGAAAAACCACATGGTAGATTCGAATGGAATAGGTGGTGGATGATAAAGAATGGAATGGATTTTGGGCATGCGTGCATGGATTAAAAAAATCAAGCATTGAGAGAAGGAAATGATGAAGTGAAGGTGAAGCAGAAGGCAAAGATAAAAGTCAAGCAAAGGCCAAGGGGGAATCATTTGAGATTGAGATGATAAATGAATGATAAAAAAAAATCCATCATATTAAATTGTTTGTGTGTATGTGTGTTGTGATGATTGTGATGATTGAATGAGAGTGGCAATGAATACTTTATATGTACTGTAGTATGTAAATGAATATGATGAAAAGGAGGGGTAAAAGTCATAGTCTGACATCATACTTCTATAAACCCCCCCCCACTATACAAAAGATTGAGAAGGATGAGAAGTGATCTGCAAAAAGAGGTTGTAGATCATTAGGTTTACTGGGTAGATTGTTGGTAGAGTTGTTGGTAGAGTTGGTAGAGTGTAGGTAGGGTTCGGGTTGATCAGGGTTGATTAGGGTTGATTAGGGTGGGAAAATTGGGGATTTTGGGGATTTTGGGGGTTGGAGATTATGGCATGGGGAGATGAAGGATTGGGATGGGATGGAGGGTTGGGGGTTCTAGGGTTCTGGGGGGTTTGGAGTGGTAGAGGGGGAAGGGGGAAGGGGGAAAGGCGGAGAGGTGTGGGATTGTTTTGGAAGGGGTTAGATGGGATTCTATGGGATTGGGTACGCTTAGATAAGCTTAGGAATTCTGAATGCAGGATTTGAGGTTTTTGGTTAGAGTTAGAGTTAGGGTTAAGGTTTGAGTTGGGGTTTGAGTTAATGTTCTGGGGTGGAGGTGGAGGTAGAGATGGAGATGTATAGGGTGTGAGGAGGGGAGCGGGAAAGTCTAGGTGGAAATTGGGAGCACGGGATAGGAGAGAGCAATGGGGAGGAAGGGAGAGTCAAGAGGGGAAGAGAGGAAGTGGTTTATAACGAAGAGGCGAAGAAAGGGAAAAAATTAGATAGAGGGGTAGAGTAGAGTAAGAGAGAAGAATTCTTTTTTTTTTTTTGCTTTAATATTTATATTTATATTTACGTCTGAAAAAAAGAATAAAAAGAATTAATAGATTATATATTCCAAATCTTTATATATATGCTTGTTACTTGACTTGTAAGATTATAATCTTTTTTTAAAATAGTTTTAAAATAGTTTTATATATATAATGTTCTTTCTTTCTTGAATATATATTATAGTCTGAGTCGAGTATAAAATTATAAATTATTAATTGAAAATTTTAAAAATAGAAATTAAAAATCTTTAAAATATTAAAACTTTCTGTAAGATTATATCGAAGAATTTTTATAAAGTATATTTATTATTATAATAATAAATCATAATTTCTGCTAAAGTGAATGGTTCCTGCGTAGCACGTGCACAGGGTACTAGTCCTATTAGGACTAGATTGAGAAGCTCTCTATAGGAGAGCTTCGCACTTCACTAGAACTTAGATAGTGAGTGATTAATATACTAGACCAATATAGCCTCAGTTCTGCCCTATCAGCTTCCCACTATTCCCTGTGTAAGGTCATTCCTTTTAACAATTTTGTTACGTGACGGTTGTTACCCACTAGTGGCTCACGTGCACTAGCCCTTTATATAAAGACCTTCTTACTTAGAATCTTCTTAGTTCTTTAGTTTTAGATTCTAAGTGATTGAATTGACTCCGTTTACGACTTTTCCGTCACAAATTTCTAGTATTTTATTTATACCCACGGATAGAATTTTATAATTCAAGTTCTTTTAGAAAATTATAAGGAAATGATTTATGTATAAAAATTCATTAACAATTTAATATTTGACTGAGTAAGATTAAATATAAACAGGCTTGATTTATATATCCGGTATAATAGGGTTCTATATTTTTTTTAAAAAAATTTCTTTTATTATTATGGAGTAAGCTTATCCTTTTTAACTTTAAGATCTTTAAGTAAGTCTAATAGTTAGGTTAGTCCGTCCTTACTCCAGTATACTATATTAATATTAGCCTTAAGTATATATGTTACTTGTCTAACCAATCCTCTTTTATAACATAACTATAATACTCCCTCTATAAACTCCATCTCCTCCCATCCAACCCCATCCAACCCATTCCATCTCACCCGACACCGGAATCCCTAAATAGTTCTAGCTTACTTACGGAGTATATTACATACATACATACAGTACATACAAGCCTTACACTCATCAAAATTCAAAAGCAAGATTTCAAATGCAAGACATAAGACACAAAAACCTAAATAAAACTCCAAGACACAAAAGCAACATGACGTCAATAAGTTAAATATGAAACGGAAAATTGTAGATCATTTTAAGATTTTATCAGGCGAAATCGAGAGATTTCTCGATTTCGCGAGGGATTGTCGATGGGTGTGCCCTGGTCCCTTGGATGGGGATGGGATGGATGGGGATGCGGCTGGGTGGATCTGTGATGTGATGTGATGTGATGGGTGGATTTTATTTTTGGGTGGGTTGTGGAGTGAAGGAGTGGAGTGGAGTATGTAGTTATGAGTGGTGTTTATTTGAGCCTCGAAGCAAAGGATATAGAATCCGGAATCCGGAATTTGGATATCTAGATGTAGATGGAAAATGGGTACCTAGAATATCTCATTCCGTATTTCTTTTACTTTTTAACCGAGTAAATTTGGAGTAAGAGATTGATACCAAGGGGAGAGGTGAATGAGGTTACTCGTGCGAGAAGAAAATATTTCATGCTTCAATGTCTGTTCACTGAAGTAAGTATATATGTATTATAATAAGGTGATAAACTAAAACTAAAACCTTACATCTGATTCTTAAATACTAAATAATGGCTCATGGATTGATGCTTTTAGATAAGATGAAGTGTCATTTATTTACGAAGTTAATCTTCTAAGTATATTTTCAGATAGGCTACTTCATACTAGTGAGGTTGCTGCTGCGACAGACAGCTAGTTCTCATTCCGTTCCGTTCTGTTATGTGGTCTGTGATTCATGTGATTCATATGATGTGATATAATATGAACGATTCAAAAATTAAATTTACGGGGATTCAGGGGAGAAAATTAGACGCGGAGAATAAATGGGTGGGAGTCCGGATTGAGATTGTTTACGGAGTATGAAAAAATTCTTCATGATATCAGATAAGATATACGGACTCCGGAGTATGTATATGGAGAAGAGAAGAGAAGTGGAGGGAGGATATTATGACGACATTATTTATGCGTTATATCTGGGAGAGCGAAGTCTCTTTCTTTAAAAAAAAACTTTCTTCTATTTTGTTTTATGTTTTTGAGGTTTTTGAAGTTTTTGAAGTTTCTTATCTTGTTGGATGGCCCCGCTGTTGAGGAGAGTTTATTTCATAGTGTTTAATGCAGTGGCATTGGAGATATGGAGGACTGATGGTTTTATACCGGATGATGAATAATGCATAGGGGCTTTGAGGGATGATTTTTGATGCTTGTTCATTGTTGGGTTATGTAAATTTACTTGGGATCTGGGGTAATTCTCTAGCGAGATGAATGACGAGAGTTGATAGAGGTAGAATCGATAGAGGTGGTTTGGTAAATGTTTTCTGTTATTTGCTACTGGTTGTGAAATTTATACTCAAAGACTTCATTTCGACTGAGACTGTCTGGAGATCTATTTGGTTTGGTGTGAGTATGATTTTAGGGCTTGAAGCCTAAATTGCAATTATTGGATTCTTCGTCTGGGAAGTGAGGGCCTGTGAAGAAGTAATGTTCTAGTGAACTGAATAGTCGAGGAGATCGGACTTATGGAAAGATAGGTTACGGATTGGGAAAATGATGGATCTTAGGTGTGAGCTGTGAGAAGGATAAATGTTGAGATCCATGTTTGAGCGATCTGAGAGATACACACGATTTTCACCCTTCGTAAGAAAAGAATTACTATTTTTGAAAGACATGAGCAAGTGTCATGAAAATGCGAAATTCCCAGCTGGAATATGATGATGGTCATATTTTCTATCCCCAACCTTCTGCAACCATACAATTCAGCAAATTTCCATTTTAAGCTTGTCCACGGCCTTCTGAAAAGGATTTTCACTGAGGTATCGAGCTTTGGGCCTTAGATATCTTATGGATTTAACGGCTTTCTTACAAGATAAACCGGTCAAGTTCATGCGGAATTTACAAGTCCACCGGGAGTAGAGCAGATATCCATTCAAAACAATCAAAAATAACTCTAACAAACAACTCCACTACTAAATTTACCCTATAACCCATTCTCCTAGCTTTGATTTCCAACTACATCTCTTCAATCCCAAACATCCATTCCATTTCATTATATCTCATACCAACAGCGCCGAAAACTACACAAAGACAAAAACAACAATCATATCCTAACCCTACCTCCTCTCATCAAAATCTATCAAGTATCATGTTTCGTCATCACAATCCAAATCTTCAAGTAACAAGCACAACACTTCTCATCTCTTTCTTCGACGGAGTATTGAAAGAAAATACAGAGGAAAGCGAATGTATATGTCGAAATACAAGAATGAGTAGTGATAAAGCTATAAGTGGAGGATTGGCGAGGTGTAAACTTAAGAGGATGAGAAGTTTCATTGTATGCTTTGTGTGAGTTGCAATTGGTTTTTTGGTGTGGTTTGTGGGAATGGGATGAGATATGGTAGAATTTCTGAGGGCGAAGAGGAAGGGGCTGGAATGGAATGGTTGAAATGAGAATGGGGATGCAGAGTAGAGACCCGAGTATTTCATTGCTTTATTATTGTTTCCCCGATGTTATTTCAGTTTTTGATATTTCCCAAATTGAAAATTTTCAATTTGTTTCCGTGGACACCTCCGCAATGCATTAGGTGGAGCGGAATCCTGAATTCCTGTTACTCCTTTTGATGTAGACGAGCTCAAATTCCCTTTTGAGAGATACTCACATTCGTGATCCGGAGAATCTATAGTTAGTGCTACTAGGATGCGAGTAGTTTACCCAAGAATGAATTATCAAAGAACTTCTTCATAATTCACCACAAGCGCAGTGCTTAGGATTCTAAATCCGGGTTCTCGGGAGGAGCGGAGCGGTACTGTCGGACTATTTCTTTGTTACTTGGATATCTTCATGAACAATTCAGTGCGGGAAATAATGAAATAATGCAGTCTTTACATTAAATTAGTTGCTGTTTTACACTTTTGTATAGCTACTTCTTGCTACTAAGACATATATATCTCCGTGTCTCTAGACCTACTTAGCGGGGAAGTCATAGCGGAGCTATCGATGTCACACAGTGGGACAACAGTATATCTCCCTATCTTCCGCTCTGCACTCGAAAAACTACAGGAGTTCCGTCTGAGATTAAGAAGTGTCTCGGATATGACTATTGCGCGGATTTATTTCTTATTAAATCTTTACCAAAATATTTTCAAATGCATATAGTGATTATTGAGCAAGCACCAAAATAAAGACATCGATATATATTTGCACAGAATAAATACGTAAAGTTACCCATCATTTCACAGCCGAGTCTTCTTAACCCAAATGAAGATTCCCTCAAAACCTTGGAAGACTAGGAAGAGGCTCAGAAAACCCAAGTCCTCCATATGTCACCATTCAATTACCATAAGTCCATGAAATTACATTTACATGCTACAATATCATACCGGCGCGGAGCCATCCCAACTCATTTAAGCCTAGCCATGAAATCCCGCGCGGAGTAAGCAATATCCATTATTCATTTCTCCGCGACTCCTTTGAGAACTCCGCCATGAGCTATGATGCACATATTACACCTAAGCTCCGAAGATCCGCGCAGATACTTCCCCGGATAGTTACTTCGATTGGGGATTCTTTGAAATTGATATCAACGTGCTGAAGTGCGTAAAGACTATGGTTTACTCGTACACTTTTGCTTACATTCACTTTTTCCTAAGATTTAAGACTCAGTTATCTTTTGTAGAGTCTGTAATCTAGCGTTTTACTCTGAGACCTAGACCTGTCGCACGACAGGACGGTTTAATTTAGAAATTGGATGTGGGGTTTTGAAAGGCGGGGTGCAGTGCTAGAGTCCTCGGTAATTTTTCAACCCTGATGATAAATAATCAGATGGGATTTCCGGACTTGGACCGAGTTTTGAGGGGGAATATTGGGTGTTGATTTATTTGAGTTTTTGATTTGCAGGAGAAGAATGAAAAGAATATGTGTAATCGGGGAGATAGTATTATGGGTTTATAAGTATAGATCACGATATGAAAAAAGGAAGAGGGATGTGAGATTAGATTGGATGGTGCTACTGTAGCTACTTTTCTGGGTCTAGATGCAAGAAGGGTCTTTTAGCTCTTAGGGTATGACGTATGGTTTGTGATATGGAGAAAGTAAACAGTGTATATCGCTTCTCATTATCAGTTATATCTTTCTGTGTAGAGATTGTCCAAGTGGTTGTCAGATGTTGGGAATTTAGCATTCTATCATAATGCTCTTAGGGTACTTTAACCAATGAATCTTCCACATCTAAACAGATCAAACACCCATTGGTTTGATAATACCTCCGGAGAAGAGATGTGTATCCCTTTACCGTTTACCTTTTGGCGCATCGTTATACCATAATGAATGGACGACGGCCTGGTCTACGTATACGTACATCAGTGATTATTACCGAGCGACCTCTCGCGGACGTGTAATGTCTTTCAGGCAGGATTAGAATCATCATTTTAACCCGGAGTCACGTCGATACATACCAGTCTACAATTGGCACTACTAGAGCCACCATCGCAATTGCGCATGGCCAACTTGAAGCCAAAACAATTCCTTCTATCCCAAACCTGATAATCTATTCAGGCACATAAAATCGCCGCCCAAAACCGACAAAGAACCCTTGAAACCCAGCTCCATCAACCGATACTCCCGGCATGCATGTCTCATTCCCCACAACTCCAGACTCCAGACTCCAGATTCCAGATTCCAGATTCCACATCGAATCTTCATCGGAAAAAAGCAAAATTTCATGCCCAAGCTCAACACATCTCGAACAAAATTCAAACACATATCGATTCACCCCAGCCTTCGCAAAGTTTAATAACCTCGAGCCGAAAAATGAAGAACCACGTATTCCATCCCCACTTGTGTGGCGACCTGCACTGCACCCCTCACTCACGTGCAGAAGCGTGACCACGTATCTTACATGAACCACGTATGTAGGTCTTGAGACCCCACATGTTCATCTATTTATTTAATGAGAACATTTTGGGTTGCGGCGACAATGTCACATTGCACGTTGTGATGTTGGTTAAAGAGAACACTTGTCTAGGTGCATGTGAGCTTGGTAAATAAAAGATGTATTATGCCAAGACGCTTTGGAAAAACTACTTGAGTGATTAACTGACTGCATGAATAGCTGCATGAACCCAGTTGGTGCACTAGTCATGTACGCAAATGCACGAGTTCTGCAAAACTTCTCCAAAAGCCTTAGTTTAAAGTACGAAATGACTTTTTGCGTTCGTATTACTGCACACTTGCGTTGAAAAGGTTATAGTGTTGTTAGAAAAACTTAAAGATAGTAAATGCACCCAATACTACCCACTACCGAAGCAGGAAGAGGATTTTAAATCTTGGGGTTAGATTCAAAGAGATGTCTAGATGATACGATGGGATAAATCTAATATGAGGGATATAGAAGACGTACTTTGCATTGCAGGAAGCAGCTGTTTTTTCTAGATATGGAATCAAATGCATGAGATATATCACGTTTGAAACATACATATGCATCTGAGGAGGGTTTTTATGCGGCCTACAATGCCCTCTTGCAATTATATACTATATTCAGAGAATAAATCCTGAGCTAGGTTGCCTAGTATTCAATTTTCTGGCTGCGTTATATGTCACTCGCGAAATTGTGTGATAGGACGTGAAGATTAACGTGCTTAAAACTCATTCCTCTGTGTATGTGGCAACTAGACTAAGATTTTCCACTATCCGGAAAGAGTTATAACTGAAACAAGGTGGCGAATAGCTCTTGGATAAATCTTTGAATTTATATGCTTATCGCTAGGTCAACCTAAATCTGTACCCTATGTTACTTACCTATAGTGGTAGTAAGCAGACATAGAATTTTAACACCCATCTTAATAAAATTTCTGGTTGATTTATTATACAGGAAGTGCGACATTGTACATCTGCACGTAGCTTGCACTCATCCGCATGTATACCTGACCTCCAGATTAGGTACCACACTATCAACAGTATTGGGGAGGATTATTTTAGAAATGAAAATATGACTAGTCGCTGGTTGATCGATATGTGTATGGATATATGACAAGTGAGGAGAATTTATTGAATACATCGACCACTAAACAGACTATGCTCCAGTGGTTGAACAGCAATGATTATGTCACTCGAGCTCGGCCGTTCATGCTTAAGATATTTTCATGGAAAGATCTATCGTTTATCATTACATAAAAGAATGTGATGAAGATATATCAGTCCTTCCCGCCGGAGACTCAAATTAACAAGTGTAAACAGAAAATAAAATTCGCCACAATCCCCCAAACTCCGTAACCCCTACACGAAGAGCCAACTCAGCATGTCCTAAACTCCAAGCTATCAGATAAATTATATCATCGAATGTTTGAGAAGCTGTAAGGCACAAAGATTGGTTCGATGACTCGAACAGATTTAATCCTTCAAATGATTCCAAGAATCAACCAAAAATGCTTCCAATTATTGGACTGCACCCTGGAGGTCAAAGATCGTATGCCCAGCCCAGAAACCAAATTCTGAAGGAATCTCAAGAAGCTTGGAGCGAACCCTAGCAATACGACCCTAAATAGTAGCTGAGTCGAGCCAAAACCGATGCCTTCCTCTGCTCTCTCATCATCCTCACCCTCTTCCCCTCGTCAACATGCTTTCCTTAAAATGTCCCTCCGCCTCGTCGCTCTCTCCCTCCTCCTTTTCCTCACCGCTCCCTCTTCCATCTTCCTCATCCTCCTTTTTCGTGCGCTTTTCGCCAACATCGACCTCTTTATTCTCCTTCTTCTCGTCAGAATCCATGTTCTGTGACCCATGCCATGATGAATATGCAAAGTTAATACTCAATTAGTCTGAGCTCGACATCAAAGGCTCCGGAAGAGGAGTCTCTCTTAGTGAACGCGGCGTGTCACCTTCTCTCTCATTTTCCCGTGCCCCCAAGGAACTCTCTAGTTGTCTGGTATCTTCAATGCTGCCACTGGCAGGAAAATAAAGATGGCAGAATACTCCACATTCTGGCATCTCACATTCCGGAAGAGAGAAGACATCCACCTCATTGTCCCCTCAACATGACGTCTTTCAAATCAAGAATTTCCTTGACCAGACTGCGAGTCATGTTGGGTTTGAGGAGTTCCTGTCTATGAGGTCATTAGCACTTCAATTATTGTTTTACTAAAAGGATGAAACTCAGGTTGACTTACTGCACGATTGCAAGCATCGTTCGCAATTGCCACCTCGACCACTTCTTAGAGGTTCAAGACCTTGTCGTAGCCCATTGATAGCTTAGTAACATCCATGGTTTGTGTAATAGATGTTATGTTCACAAGTTTCTTAATTTGGGTACGAAGAAATTGTAATGAGGAAATATTGTTGAACTGGTAGGAAAACAAAGATTCTTGGACAAGACAGCCTTAATATGGATTTTTGAAAATGCTAATCCTCATTTCAAATAAAATTGAGGAGCTTAATCGAGGCGGAAAACTTTCCTTCAGTCCAAATGGAAATCTAGTGTAGAATTGAAGTCGACACTGGGCCAAGAATGAGAGTAAGTACACTTACACTTACTTGCAAACAACCTATCATTCAACTATGAATCGAAGGTTGTGATAATAGCTAACGCTGTAATGTGAGGCTTTGGGGACTAGGTTGCTCAAAACCCGTTGGCGTGAAGAAGCCGGTCATAGACCAGTCGCATTAGCATCGGCTTTTGATAGATATCAATTTGATATCATCGGTCGCCTTCCATTAGGAAGAAAATTAGCAGCAGACATGCGGAATCACAAACTATATACATGTGGGTCTGCTTACTGTAAGACGAGAGGCAGGAAGGCTCGACTTCTAACCTTCCTGCCAGAGAAGACCACACCTGGAACCATATAGTTGTGGTAACATGTTCAACCAAATCTCTAAGTCGGTTTGAACAAGAAATGCCCCAAGCTCATCACTTTAAACTTTCTACTGGAACGCTTGAGGGAGTAGACTCTGGTCTTTGGAAGAAGAACCGGGCACAGAGCGTGGGGTTATATGAAGTAATCGAATTCGAAGCTCACATTTTAGTAACTGACCAGCCAATATGCCGAAAGCCAAATGCCGACCTCATCATTACATCAAAAGTCTACATTGAAGATACTTCCATCGTTTGGGCTTCCCAAATTTGAATTGGTGCATAACAGAAAAGTGCATGTATCCAAGATATCGGTTTCAGGGGCTTATGATAACTGTCAGTTACCATGGGATGAATTTACATCGAACAGTAGGTAATTTTAGACGTGCTGACATTTGCCGGGCTTTTATTGGTGCCTTTCAAGATATGGGGAGTGATGACTAATCATAATATCTGATGCTGATCAATCACGAACCTTGGAAAATTACTCGATAACCACCGTAGGTTACTAAAGGTAAATATAAACCAAAGCAATTCTGTCAAGCAACACCCAACAACCATTCGCCCATATACTTCAGCAGTTTCTATCTGAATCCGATAGCTCCGATATTATCACTGCATTCATCCAGCAATCGTACTCGAATTACGTCCAATATCTCACCAATTGACTCCAAAAACCCCTCCAAAACATGAAGAATTCCGCCCTTTCCTGCTTGCATTGTCTACGAACTCGCGCTCCTCTTCTAAGTAATTCGATTGCGCGATCCTCAAATATGCGCAGTGTGAAAAATTGCGCTGCAGCTGCACAAAACATTCGTTCATACTCTATTTCCGCAATCAATTCACCCCGCTATCTCCCACGAACCCGAGCTCTTTACCCCTCATCTGCACCACTATCCCACCTTAGATACTACAGCGATTCAACCTCCACAATCAAAGGTACCATCGGAGCCGGCGCAGAAGGTGTTGCACAGGAAGAAGCTCGAGCGGCAGACATACTTCAGGCACCCAATCACCTCGATGAAGCAGAAAAAAATATATGGGATAAATTATCCCGCGAGCTTCAACCTACGAAATTACAGGTGCAGGATATAAGTGGTGGGTGTGGGAGTATGTATGGAATTGAGGTAGTGAGTGAAAAGTTTAGAGGGTTGAATATGTTGAAACAACAAAGATTGGTTAATAAGGTTTTGGGGGAGGAAATCAAGGGGTGGCATGGTGTGCAGTTGAGGACTAGTGTGCCTTGAGGGATTGCAATTAGTGGAAGGTGATTAGTACAGAGGAATATATGTATAATGGGGTATCTGACCAGTTGGTTGCATTGGAGAAATAATGCTGGTTGGAATGAAATGAACGTATTTCTAGTGGATGAGCGGATCACAAATGCTAGTTGTACATTATGGGTCGAATATTGGCATTTATGAATAAATAAAGTAATGACAGAGACGAATCCTTAATCAAGCCCAGGGTCTTCCCCTCTCATTTTCCAACAACAAAACGTGGTTCATGCCATATGTCATTCGAGAGAAACAAATGATAATCATTCATTGATATCCAACGTTGATACTCTTATCCCCCATCCAACTTCCGAACATTCACTTAAAAACACCCCTTCGCTTCTAGAGCTTTGTTGCACATCTTCACGAGCCGTATAGCTACACCAGCTTAGCGACTCAATCTAAACACTACCTAGGTACCTAGTACTCATCCGACCTTTCTTTATACTCCTCAGGATTCACTTATCATAATCCCTCTTTATCCAACAAACCTCCTAAAAGCTACTCATCTGACTCACCGCGTATCCCGCATCCTTACAAAGAGCAAATCGCGTAACTATTGTATTGATAGATAGAATAGCAAAACCGAGATTCCTAGGAATAAGTTAGGCTAAGCTGATAAGTTGGATTCTTGTTTGTTTACTATTTCTTATTGCTAGGTTAGAGAATGCCTGTGTTGGTTATATTTATATCTATTTTTATTCCTGTTATATCTTCTGATTTAGTTGCAACACTTGGGAGTATTACCGTCGAAATTCCCATCTCTGATAGGAGGACTCGCTTCATGGGTTACATCACCAGATGAGATGGGCATATTTATTGGTTTTTATGCTGGTATGGACTTAAGTTATACTAAGATTACATATATTCTTTTCATACATACCTAGTATCTTTGTAATCTTATGTCTAGATCATTCTAAATATCATACTAGCTGGCTATAGAACACTTGAATACTAGTTACAGGAATGTACTTTAATCTGAGAAGATATATAAGGTAAGGTAGGGTAAGATATACATACCGAGTCAGCCGGTGTTTTTGTATGCGATATTTTGAAAGTGAGAAAGAAGTATAATATATATCCTCTTTTAGTTTAGATATGCTAGGAATTTTATCGGGCGTGTGTTGCTCAATTGGTCGGTTTTAAATCGTATGTTAGCTGCTGCCGGCTAGGAAATTGGGGATTCGATATGCGTCGCTGGGATCGTCATGTCGTTTAGATATTGCCGCGAGATTTGTACGTTATAGGTAGCTAGTAACATACTCTAAGGCGTCGTACTAGTAGCACTATCACGAGCGCGATGTGTGGTGGTAGCGGGCGCTAGCAGGAGATATCGAGGTTGTTCATCTGGTACCGGATAGATTATATTCCGCAACACCTCAAACTCGGGATGAAATAGCCGCTGCTGCAGTTTTAATCCCGCCCGATTCTTACGGAGATTTTATTGTTCCAGTTGTGTGATATAGAAGTAGAACGTGTGGGGATTTTCTAATAAGGTAAAGCTAGGTTAGATGCTGATGATAGTAAACCATTCGTCTTGTAAGACTTGCAAATACACTGCCAAAAATGGGTTTGCTTTGCTCTCTTTAAAGTGTCTAATTCTAACAACTTTGTTACTACTCTCTGATCTACTCTTACCCCAAACGCTACGCAATATATTAAGTATTTACCGTCCCATATCTATCTCCCACTGCGCCTTAAAAACATTCTCTAACTTATCGGGAGCCTGATCTGGAAACTTTTCTACAATACATTTCAATACTTCTTCAAAAAGAATCTTGTAGGCTTCCCCACTGAAATGTAGACCTAGGAGTTTTGCATTAGTATATATATATATTGCATGTAATTCCCCTTTTCGTGTGAATTAAGTCAACTGACGTACCATCATACAGCAATTTCGTGAGATTAGGATCTCTGCCATTTTCTTCTAGGCCCGGCATTTTGGCTGGATCATCTCCTTCTTTCCATCTATTGGGATATAAATGTTAGTTGAAAGCTTTCACTATGATTATCAAGTACCTCGACAAAATTTCAAGAGTCACAATCAAATCGCCACATACCCACAAGCACCCATAAACGCAGTCCATAAATCCACAATGCCTAACTCATGTTCCTCCCCAATCCTCACCACTTCATCCCTATACTCCCTCGTATCTCTCACCCGTCTAGGATCATCCGAATATCCCCACTCACCATTCGTAACCCTACAGGTTGCCTCATCAACCGGTGCTGGCGTTACTAGTATAATTCTCGGTCCGTGAGCTTGAATGAGAGGATGAGAGATAAGTTTCCTTATATTTTGGATGAATTGGGGAAGAGGAACATATTGGTTTGCGGAGGGGCCACGGTTCAGATCATTGGCGCCGAAGAAGATGAGCTGATAGATGTTAGAATTTTCTGTAGATTAGGTTGGATTTGGGTAGATATGTAAGGTTCTTACTAGAAAACGAATTTTGGCTTGAGAGGGAGTGGGGAGGAATTGTGGGAGAACTTCGAGTGCGTGGTTGGTGTTGTAGGCACTAGAAGTTGGTTAGTGGATAGATATATTGAGAGTTTCCGGGGTAAATCCGTAGAAAACGAACCTGAAGCCTCGATTTATGACATCAAGTTTTCGGGCGTATGCTAGGAAAATATTAGCGAATCTTTTAACCTGGAGACTTAGGATGGGGATTTTCTCTCAAACAATCGATCAAGAGTTATATTGCGGAGTATGTGATTCATACCATTCTGAAGTGCAGATGCAAATGAGAACCCATTAGGTTCGTTTGAGCCCTGAGTAATACTATCACCTGGAGCGATACATCAGTATTGAAACTCTTCATCAATCTCGAGATCCACCAACCAAACAATATAAACTGATCATAAGGCGCCTGGAAGTTTTAGCATCAATAGTTCATGTAATGCATATGCTTGCTCTGTAGAACATCGAACACTCACCATTTCAACCTTCCAGTATGTTTTTCTGAAAACTAATCAAGAAATAATCCCAAGCCAAAGTAAGACTACCTGGTACTTCAAGATGCACACAAATCGTTAAGACGCTTGAATACCCAAAACTCGGTACCTCACACCAAAATTTACCTAGAACTGAAGTCCGCATGACGAGCAGCCTTTTATCTTGAAAACTTGCGATAGAAGCATTTATCCAGAAGAACTAACGATAAGTCCCACACTTGGGTGATCAATTTAGCCAGCATTCGATCCTTGCAACTTATCTTCTCCAAATTGAAGAGTGTGGGGCAAACCTACCCCGCCATGGAGTAAGACGTGACAGTGATGGAGGGTGAACTTTTATGATAATTATTAAATTAACATAAGAGCAATAATCCCAACATGATGGAAAATTTCTAGGTTAGCTTTAACCTACAGATTCAAAGTCTGTCCGTAAAACCGAAGAATCATCAAAAACACAAACCTCAGTAATGAGATTACCATCGCGTCGATAATGCCCAAACTAGAAAACTTCCTAGATCTCAGAGAGGCCCTGTGTCCTGATTTATACATCGGCTACGGGAACACAGCTCTTCAGGTCAAAGGCGCATAAATATCCACCGAAAATGTATCTACATGCGGGACATATTTGGCCTACTCCTGGAAGCGTAAGGATTCCAGTATCCGTGACGATACGGTTTTCTCCTGCCGCAAAATAGTCGAAAAATGTTCGGCTGTGAAATCTTAGAGCGTCACTGCACATTAATTTTCGTCCTCTTAGTCGCGGATTATTCTTCTAGGAGGCAAAAGTGGCCTGGTTGATGAATATGGATTGAAATATCAGAGAGCTGTTGAGAAATAGAGTTACAACCTCGAACCGCTGTTTCATTGAATATCCATCAAGATCTGAAAAGGAGGTATAGCGAATTTCGGATCAGGAGAATTGAGAACTAAATGAAGGTGTTCAAACACAGAGTGAGTTACAGTAGGCCATACAAATCGTTGGGCCATGTGTGTGGTAAAAGTGTATGGGATGAAATTCAAGGAAAAGTAAGGTAGGTGTAGCTTTCTTAACCGCATTACATGGAAACTACTAATAGCATGTGGTTAGGAGAGTCCACTGGATAGCGAGGCCGTGGAAGAGTGAGAGGGTTTGAGATCGCATGTTTGCAGATCTAATGCGGAAGACATGTGATTATCCCAACTAGTATGCGTCTGCAGCTTGCGGATATCGTGGATTACCAAAATACACAATGGAGGAATCTAAATTAGTTTTGGTAAGTTTATTGTCATATGGTATGAATATTTATACGGGCATTCCGCGTGAGATATAAAGATATTCCAGCTAATCTAACTAATCGTTCAAGAAATCGACAAGTTAGATACCAATTCCCAAGCAGTGGCCAGGGAATCTCAAAGCGATACTTCTCGGTTAAGAACATACCCAGACGGACTCTGAGGATTTTTTGAAATTGATTTAGGCTCGTTATTCGGTGCCAATTTTTATCACTGAGAATGGTGAGATCTTAGCAATGCAAAGAGTCAAACGCATAGAGTGATGAAGTCTTGGGCATAAGTTCCACATTGAGATTTTTGGGGGAGACATCGATACAGTAATTAAGTAAGGTAAACCTGTGAAAGAAGACAGAATCGATATTAGATGGTAAGATTACTTTGCATATAATTTTACGGATAATAATAGTAAGTTATCCATTATTCCAATGATCAGGTAGGCCTAACTGGAAATACACTGATAAATCCAACATGACATTTTAAAGACTTTATTTGAGTTGAAAAAGAAGAACAGTTAATCAACCTACCTAGGTATACTAATAAGAAGTTCTGCACCTTTTATCAAAGATCTCTTTCTCTATATTACTACATAGGTAGCCACCCATCAAATATCAATAACACAATAACAGTATCATCTAAATCTAAATCCAGTACAAGACTAACCATGTAAAAAATAAAGACAAGAAGTAGGTAAGTAATCAAACTATACGTGACTCTGCAGCACTCCCATAATCAATACCCCTCAATCCAAACAATATAAAACTCTAATATACTTCCTTCTTCCTTCAAATTTACCTTCAACTTTAATTTATCACCACCATTAATCCACTAATTACTTATCAGAATCTCCTAATCTTACTTTTTTCACTTTTCACATCTCAGGATACCTAGATAGATATAAATACACCGAGTAATCAAGAAATAAACAATTCCAGCTAGCTCAAGAGATAATCTTACAATAAATCACAATCTCAACATCCACAATACCGACAAATAATAAACACCCACCTTGAACATAAAAAAAAAACATACGAGAATCCAGTCGTCTGAGCAAGCAACTCTTCAAAGAAAAAATCTTCGATACCTACCTAGTAGCTTGATTTTATACTTTAGTAACTTCACACACGAACTTGTTCTGTTGTCTAATTAGATTGGGTTAGGATAGATTAGGTTAGGTTAGGTTAATCTAATGAAGAGGAGAGGTGATGAGAGATAATGAGTTAGATATAACTCTATTAAGGTTTCCATGTGTAATTCAATTTTTATTTATTTATTATTTAGGTAGGTAGTTACCAAGGTAGGTAAGGTTTTATTATAATTAAGTACCTATTAAGATTCAACATACCTATTCTTACATTGAATCTGTGTTTTGATAAACACTTATCGTGATAATGATACTGGTACTGAGGAGACATCTTTTGTTTGTTCTATACTCTTATTATCCCAAGATTCGGGAATGATTATTTAATTCTATAATACTGTTTCCCTTATTCTTTTTTCGATATCTTATATAGGTAAGTCCTATTCCCATTTCCATCTCCATACCCCCCCCCCCTTCTTCTTCTTCTTCTTCTTCTTCTTCTTCATTATCTTCTCCACCCTGATACTTCGAAAGTAAAACCCCCCTCGCAAGACCCCTCCCACCATCATCCATCTCCAAAGATCTCCCCAAACCATCCTGATCCTCCAAAGCCATCCTCATCGCCATCTCAATAGCGAAAAAAAAAAAAAAAATGCGTAGGATCCATCCGATGAAACCTGCAAAAACGAAAATGAGGAGCCTGACCCTTCAAATCCAAAGACAAGGTAAGATCTTACTATTTTGCAAATTATCATGATGTAGTAAATTACCAAAAGAATTAACTAACTAGACTTTTTTCCGTGTACCAATATTCCCACTCGGGCCCATCATCATTTGCGTCTTCGGCATGTGTAAATATGAGATTGGCTATATATGCGTAGACTGGGGAAGCGTTTTACTACCATCACTATCATGTTTTGGAAATGTGTCATGATGCTACGAGGGAGATGGTGTCGTACGGGTTGTCCAGGACATGCACAATAGTAGGGTTCAGTCAAAATAGCTACGGATGTTAAAATGGTAAGTTCTCTGATACAATTGATATAAAATCGAGGTACGCGAGAGAGAAATGATTGTAGCCCGTGATGATTGGGATGAATACTCGATCTACAACCCTTGACGAAGCGAGCTGCATATTGCATGTGTTTAATAGGAGATCCAATGACGAAATTGTTATGTTCGTAGAAATTTTGTGCAGCATCTTGATGCATTGCTTTGCTTACTTGGAGAAGGGCGAGTCCACCTTTAAGCGGCGTACGATTTTTCTTCTCGGGATGTTTGTGTGGAAGTGTATCCATTGGTGATGTGATTTGAATTGGATTCTCCTTGATCATTATGAAACTATATATCATCTCTCGAACTTCGAATGGTAGATGGGGAAATGTAACTCTCGGTTGACTTTCGGTGACGTTGGAGATGTCGGTGGCATTTTTAGTTTGATTTCTTCTTTTTGGATTGACTCCTTTCGGATTTGATGAACTGACTCGTTTTTCGACCAACTGCTTTTGATGGTATTTTACCTCCCAGCTTGTTGGCCGTCTTGAGCTTGGTGGTACGAGATTTAGGCATGGTTGATAGTGTTCTGAGCTGTAGTGGTACCGGAGCATTTCTTGTGGTGAGGAAGATGTTGTGAGAGTATGTTGTGAGGAAGATGTTGTGCAGATTGAGGAAATATATGCAAAAATCTTATTGTGCGCCGCACTTGATGGTAGTATGGCATACTAATTGATAGTATGATCTTGGTTGACCTTATCTTCTCAATACTAACCTTACTCGTGGAGCTAGGTGTCCGTACAGTGTACCATATTCAATTGGTAGCTTTCACCAAGCTAAAAGTTCATGTTGAGTCAAAATAATTTAGTTGGTCTCAAAATCAAGTAGTTTTATTCTAGCTTGATCAAATTCACCAGATGAATACCCTACCGTACGATATGAATGCAATATACGCTACTCTGTCGTCGATTGACTAATGTATAGAATAGACATATCGATATATATAGTGTAAGTGATGTCTGACCGTCTGTCTCCATATGGCCAAACATTATAATGCGGCTGAGGATGCATCTTCAAATTTGGAGAGAGAGGATGGTACAAACATTTGTAAGATCTTACTCCGTAGCCTGACGTAAGGCTACCTATGCCAGACGTAAGGCTACCTATGCCAAGCGACTAAAAAATCGCTTCGGATATGTTTGATTGATTGATTTTATTAACGTCCATCTTCAGTCCAAGACTATATAGGACGGCTAGGCCCTAAGGGCCTAACGGGTAACTTTTTAATTTACAATATTGGATATGATCTAATTGGGGAAGTGAAAACAAATGCTGGGGAACAGTGCCCGCTCATTATACGCATTGCATATAATAAAAAGATTTTGAAAATCAAGAAATTGTGAGGAGGTCAAACCCCTCTCTTATTTCCTCAACTGCTTCTTCTTCATTCTCTTCTCCTCTCTCCTCTTCCACTACTACTCCTTCCTCTATTACTTCTTGTTCAAGAGTCCTTGCTAGATGCCATGCCCTTGTAGCGATTTTAGTGATATTGATAAATTTGATAGCTAATTCGATACCTATTTTTGTATGCAATAGGAATTGTATAGTGTTTTTGGATAATGGTATCTTCTTAAAGATCTCTTTTCTTTTTGTTTTATATATAGGACAGCTAATAAGGAGGTGTTGTGGTGCCTCAATATTACTGCATATACATTTGTTATTGGTGAGTTTGAAACGATGTAAGTAGGATTTGATATATCCGTGACCTAATTTGAGTTGAAAGAATGCGCTAGCAGTATTTCGAGTAGTTCCGCTTGGTAGCTTGATTTTGGAACCTATTTTCCATGGAAATAGCTTCGAGTAAGTTGATGGGGATTGGTTTGATCTGAGTTCGTATTGTTTGAGAGTATCAAGCCATTGATCTGAGGCATATTCTTTGACAGTCATACCTAGTAGTCCAAAGCTTGTTTCGTTCGAGATAGGTTGTATTGTGGTTGCTTCCTTGGCTAGCTTATCTGCTAGCTCATTTCCTTCAACTGAGGTATGACCAGGAACCCAATTTAAGGAGATTTCGGCTCCTTTTGCTCTGATAACCTCTGCTGCTTTGATCGCTCTTATCTGATTGGCTTGTCCTGGGTGATCTGAAGGAGTTTTTAAGCGGTATAAACCAGCTTGATTATCCGAGTAGATTTTGAACTTTTGACCAGTATAAGCGATTGAGCTAGCGTATTCAATAGCTCTTGTAACTCCAAAAAGCTCTCCATTATATACTAATTGATTAGTACCAATATTGCTTCGCTCTTGATATAGAATTCGATTATTTGATTGTATGGCTACTATGCCTACTCCAATACCTATTCCCTTTTCGGTGGAGGAGGCATCAGTGTAAATATAGGTGGTATCTTTATCCCTATGTTTGAAAATAATATTATGAAGAATGGCAGCATCTTCTTTTGACGAATTGCTAATGTTAACTCGGAAGGGGGTTTCTCTTTTCCATGGGGGGAAGTTAAAATGAATGATCTTTTCGAGTGAGGAAGGGTTGAAGTCCTGGTTTATCGATTCTTTGATTTTATCCAGTTGAGTAGGTTTATATCGTTTTCTTCGAGGGGTAGAGATCGCATCCAAATTGGCTTGATATTGGATTAGTGGTGCTTTTTCGATATTGATTGGATGATTTGGTGAAAGTTTAGCTAAACGGAATGCGTATTGCCTAATATTCGAGTCTAATCGAATTTTTGAGGGTTTTAAGCCTGCTTCTACTTCCATTGGAGGAATTGGAGCAGTTTTGAATACTCCTAATATCTTTCGAAGAGCTAGATTTTGAAGTGATTGCATCATATCCTTGAAATGGGCTTGGCCTCTCCACCAAATCACTGATGCGTAATCGGCTATACTGGTCACACATGCTATATATAACTGTCTAAGAGCTTTCGGACTGAGGCCCTTTTCGATATTAGCTAATCGGGCCATTCGATGGAAGGCTCCTTTTGCTTGTGTGATTCGAATATTAACATGTTGATTGAATTTGAGGCTCGGGTCGAACCATATTCCCAACCATCTAATTAGAGATTGAGGTATAATTATTTCCGAATTGGGTAGTTTGATTGGGTAGTTTTTCGTCAATTTGGATGATGAAAAGTGCATTAGCTCTGTTTTTGCTAGGTCGAATTGAATAGCATTCTTTGAGCTGAGTTCGTAGATTTGTTTTGTAGCTCTCTCTAGAGATTTGATATTCTTTTTCCATGTAGATGAATTGGTGATTAGGGCAATATCATCAATATAGGAAAGAAATTTGATCGAATTGGATAAAAAGAGGTCCCTAATGTATATAAGGAAGAGAATTGGAGAAATTGGACTGCCTTGTGGTATTCCGGTCGAAATTGGCTTGAAAGATTCGATTTGGTTATTAAAGGATAGTTTTAGTTGTCTTTGTTGAAGAAATGAAGCTATCCAGGAGATGAGATTCGTCGGTAGTCTTAACTTCTTGCAGATATCCAGTAGTCGATTTTTTGAAACGTGATCGAATGCTCCCTTTATATCCATAAATAATATTGAGGTCTTCTTGTTAGCTTGCTTGTTTCTTTCGATTTCTGTTGTTAATAGAAGTGCAGCATCGATTGCTGATTTCTTTTGGCGGCCTCCTATTTGACTCTTGTGTAGAAGGTGGGTAGTTTCCGCTAAATATCCTAATCGTTGAGCTAGAATCCTTTCACTAATTTTTCCCAGACAGTTTAAGAGTGCAATCACTCTATATGCTTTTGGAAGTGAGTAATCAGGTTTTGAGGCTTTCTTTAGAATAGCTCCAGTAGCTTGTTTCCAGCATTTAGGGTGATATCCGAGATTGAGGAGTTTGCTGAAAAGAGTAAAAAAGATCTGTGGGATTGCTTTGTAGGCCTTTGTAATGATTTCTTGAGTGATCCCATCTGGACCAGGGGTCTTTCCTTGTATCTTAGCTGAGCAGGCATTACTTAATTCGATTTGAGAGAGATTGAGCCATTCCCATTTCTTGAGATTGTTTATACCCTACCCATTGTGGTTTTAGAGTAGTAGGAGGGGGAGGGAATAAAGTCGATCTGAAAGCAGAGCATTTTCCTTCAAAAGAGCTTTCTGATGAAATATCCGGTATCCTTTGATCTTGGAAGTCTTTGGTATAGGTCATTGCTTTGAAAACTGTCTGTGTATCCTCCTTTTCTAGGAAATCATTCCAATGATCCTTTTTTGCTGTTTTAATAGCTTGAAAGTATTTGTTTCTAGCAATTCGATATTCTTCCTTAAGATTAGGGTTCTCTCGATTTGATTCGATTGATTGCTTTGCTTTTCCTAGCTCTTTTCGAAGATTTTTCAACTCGGGTGACCACCATGGTTTAGCTCTTTTGATTGAAACAACTTTGGGTATACACCTTTCTGTTGCTTTTTGGATAATCCTTGTAAGTTCGCTTGCTGCTTGATCTAGAATTGAATGGGAATTGTCTTTTTCTTTCAAGAAGTTTAGTGAGTCCTCTTCCGTAGAAGTTATTGAGTCTAAAATAGAAAAAGTAGGGGAATACAGGGATTCCAATTTTAGTATTGATTCAAAATTTTCCCAGTTGGCTAGCTTTGTATTGAATCTAGTTATTGATTCTGAATTGAGGGCGTTTAAGTCTTCTTTTCCTTTCAGTTCGAATAGTATTCCTGCATGGTCGGATCCTGTATCTGAAAGAGTTTGCCAGTTGTGAATTTGGGGAGAGATTCCTTCTGACGCTAGTGTTAGATCAAGGACACTTGGATTAAGGAGATTAGTTCGATAGAAAGTGCTGATTCCGGGCTCGTTTAGAAGAATGAGATTCTGATCTTCAAACCATTCTGCTAATTGATCAGCGTTTCCGCTTTTCTTTGAAAAAGGATCCCACCATGGGTGGTGGGCATTGAAGTCGCCAAGGAGGATAGTTTCTTGTGTGATAGATATATCATATAAACATCTTTCAATTGTGAAACCTTTGTCTTTAGCTTGATCAGCCTCGTTGTATATATTGATAATTTGAAAGGTTTTATCTCCATTTTGACAATTAAAGATTTGTATATCAGGATCTATTGGGGAATCGGGAGCTAGGTTGATTGTGGCTTGAAGAGTTTTTGAAGTGTATAGTAATGTACGAGGTCGAAAGTTAGAATCGAATCTTGGTAGTGTTTGTATGAAATTAGAGTGTATAATAGATCTTGAATTTGAGTAATCGATTCCATTTTTGATAATCCAAGGTTCTTGAATCATAATAAGATCGATATTGAGTTCTATTGCAAGCTGTAGAACGTTCTCTGTAGCTTGTGAGCTCTTATTAAGATTTATTTGAAGAATTCGAATATTAGTGTAACTCATAAGTTGGTGTTATTTGCTTTTTGTTGGATTGCTTGATAGATTTCGCAGGTTCTTGAATTTGCTGTATGCTTTCCTTGGCAGTTCGAGCATTTAGCAGCGAGATGTTGGCAGAACTTTCCTCTGATATTGCAGACTACACATAGATGTACTGATGTGATATGTTTGCCTCCACATAGTCCACAAGAGGGATCCCTTCTGCAATGTGTATCCTGATGTCCGAATCCTTGGCATTTTTGGCATTGTGTAGTTGGTTTGGATTCGTAGAACTTTTCTACTCTTGTACTAGTGCCAGCGATATATAGTCGTTTCCGAATGGCTAGCTCTGCTTCTGATTTTGTTGCAAAAGCAATCACTATTGCTCCTTCCCGTTGATGAGCTCTTTTTGATGATGGTGTAAGCCAAAAAGGGGTTCCTATGGGCTTGAATTCTGGATTGAAGGTTTTGATTTCCTCAAGAATGAGGTCCATTCCTCTTGTTCCAGAAAATTCTTTTATAGGGATTTTATGAATAATGACCTTATGCCATTCTTGATCCTTTTGAATTCTTTCGAATTTGATGAGATTACTCCAGATTGCCTTTTTTTCTAATAGAAGTTGTGATGTGAAAGGTGCATTTGTAGTAATTATTATATTTCTATTCAGCGATAGAGTTACTCCTGCTATAACCGGGCCTTTAATTCCAGTTTTCTGGAATGCTTCGTTTATTTGGTTTCGAATTGATATAGGTGAAAAGGAGGTAATGTTCGTGATCTCTGGTTTGATCAGGATTAAGCGTCTTTGTGTGATTTCGATCTTCTTATCTATTGGGGAGGATCTAATAGTTTTTCCCTTGCCTACTAGGTTCCATTCTCCTTCTTTTGTTATTGCTGCATATGTCGATTTAGTGGTTGGTGTATTGATTGGCAAGGGAGCTTTGGTTAGGGCTTTAGCTTGAGTTTCGATTTTCCGTGTAGCGGATTCTAGATGAGTGATTTGGGAGGTGATGATATTGGAGGCGGTGGTGAGCTTTCCTTTTTCGGTATATTCTCTAAAGATCTCTAGGAGATCTAATAGCTTCGATTGCTCATCACATGATTGAGAAAGAGTTGACGCTAATACTATAAGATCTCTTGCTTTTAAGATAGCTTCCTTAGGTGTAGTTGGATTGTTTTTTATTCTGGGTTGTTTATTCTGATTGCTAAGGGGCATTGTAGGGCCACGTTTCTTATTCTGATTGAATATATAGGTAGTATTGGTTGTATCTTGAGTAATAAAGGGGTCACTAAGTAGATTGAAGTCTTCAACTCTTCTTCCAGAACTGGTTGGCTGATTGGTTGGTAGACTAGGGCTAGAGATTTCGAATTGAGGGTTTTCAGAGGGCGGGGGAGGGCTTGAGGGTATTGGGGTACCTAGAATAACAGTAGGATACGTGTTTGGTATGATGGAGGCTTCTCCCGAAGCCTCCATCATAGCTGTATCCTTGAGTATTGATGGATTGTTGAAGTTATTCATATTGAGGATCTTATTCTGATAGTTTGAGGTGAAAATTTTACGCGAATTTTCGTGCGAGTTTCGTGTTTGGAGCGCCGACGACAGTATCACAACAACTACTGATCAGAATCACTTGGGGGCAGTTGCAATCAATTTGGTTTAATAGCTATGATCTAGATCGATCGCGAAAGGGTCGTATTTCGAAGAAAAAGTTTCCTTCGAAATTTGTTGTGTGCTTCGGATATGTCGTGCAGTTGCAGTTAGGTTTCCATTGCAGACACAGACATCACATAAACTAAACAACAATTTATCGCTTCCTACAACTCAAACTCACAATATCTCTTCCTACCTAGGTAGTTAACCTGTATCTATTAGGTATATCTAAGTTCATCATTATGGTCATTGTAGAACAAATATCATCCATACAATTACCCCACGCCTACATCCGCCCCACAAGCATACTTACGAACCACACTAGAGCAGACAGGCCGCGCGCCGGAATCTCACCGAAAGCTTATTTTTCTGTTCTCCACGGACAAAAGCTTAATCCTCTGCGATAACCACCTTTCTTTATCAACATGCCGCTACTAGCAATACGTTACTATACCTCATACAGGTCATGAGGTATTGTGGCGGGTACTATGCTACATGTTAGATGTCCTACGATAAGTTCTCATTCGAGGATATGTACGAGGGAGGTAAGATAGGAAAGGTAGGTCTGTAGGTAGCTAGGTGGATTACAGATAGAGAGGGTTGACTATAAGTACGTGGATGTAAGTATTGCAATTCCCTTCATTCATATCCTCATTTCGTACATATCTACTTTCTTCTCTCTTGTTTATATCTTCCATATCTGCAAGTTTGAGTCTATCTCCATCTTCCCCTACACAATGGCGACCATCTGTAAGTATCCTCCCCGATTCTTCATCACCGTACTATCATCCCATACTAATATTATTCCGCAGACGACGAACCAGTTGGCTGCAACTGCGATAATGAATCAACCTATGATCAAGCCACCATAGACGCAGCATGCAAACAAGCACTAAAACTCGCATCTGAAAAGAAAACCGTGGGAAGGGATAAATATCCCCATGTCTACAATGGTAAGATCTAAAGACATCTCCACACTCATCATCCCATCCCATCCCCAAACTCGCGCACCATCTCACTCCTTTCTCAACACCCCACTAACAAATCTCCATGGAAACTAGACTATGAAAAATTCACCTTTCTCCCCGCAGCCAAGAAACCCTACCTCGAATTCCCCATTCTCGCCGACGGCGAAATATACACGGGTTCCGAACCCTCTTCTCCGGGAGCAGACCGTATCGTTATTGGGAGTATTGCGACGGATTATCAATCTGCTATTTTCTGTGCCGTGATTACACATGATGGGAGTAGGAAGAATGGGTTTACGGAGTGTGCGAATACGGGGGATGATGGGGAGGGAGCTTATGGGAGGAGGGATGGACAAGATGAGGGGAAGGATGGGAGGGATTTGTTGGAGTGGATTGATTTGTAGGGATTGTATTTATTGTAGGTAGGAATCGGAGGTATTTTGATGATTTTTATTTTTATTTTGAAATTTGGAACATCTATGAGGAATTTGAAGGGTTTCAATCTTTTATATATATATACTCGAGTGATAAGATTACATTGAATCCAATCCAATCCAATCCAGCTCATTAAATCCACTCCATTAAAAACCACCCCAACACTTCCATAATCCCTGACCTAATACCTCGAACCGAATTTCCCTTCTCCTCCTTCACCCATATCCGGTCCCGCAATACTCAACGCAAGTCCAGGAATATCTTGTTCATTCCTCTCTCTCTCTCTCTCTCTTTCCCTCTCTCTTTCCCTCTCCCTATCCCTATCCCTATCCCTATCCCTCCTATAATCCCTATCCCGTATCCAATCTATCGAATCAATTATATTCGGTGTATATGGAATGGGAGTTTTGGGTTCTTCGTTATTGGGAGTGGGAGTAGGAGTTGAGAGGGGGATTGGGACTGAAGGGGTATTTTGTTGGGTCGTGGGGGGTGAAGGTGGAGAGGATGAGGATGTGGATGTAGATGTGGATGAAGACTGAAAGGGAAAAGAGAAGGGGAAGGAGAAATTTTGATTTATGGAGCGGGGTGGGGGCTGAGGTTGGGATGTAGGTTGGGGTTGAGAGTGAGGATGAGGGTGAGGATGAGGGGATATAGACGCCGACGCCGACGTCAATGGTATCTGCGATGTAGAACTACTAGTTCGGTTATGAGTATGTGTTATACTGCGCATGGTACTTCCTGATAATACTCGCATGATACCAGCTCCCATTCCCATTCCCATTCCTGATCCCGATCCAAATTCACTCTTTTCGTTGTAAGGAGGGGCGGTTTGTCCATCTTGTTCAACTTGTCCTCCTGGCCCTCCCATCCCCTCGCTGCTCCATTCCTCACCAAATCCATCGATATTTCTTCGATATTCCTGTTTTTTGTTTTTGTTTTTCTTTTTGCGTCGGAGAATGTAAAAGAGTATGCTTATGATGAGGGCTAAGAAAATGAGGATTCCGATTATGATGCCGGCGATGGTGCTGGAGGGGAGAGTGTGAGGATGATGTTGAGACGAGGGGATTGAGGGGGTTGTGGGGAGGGGTGTAGAGTTTGTGAGGGATGTGGATTGAGTGGTTGGTTGCGTTATAGGGAGGGGTGTGTGGGGATGTGGGGTGGAGGGGAGGATGTGGTTGGTGCGGTGGATATAGCTGTCAATGTAGGTGTGGTAATGTAGATGTTGGCTTGAAGTTTGATATTGAGGTTGAGGATGAGGTTGAGGATGCTAGCCGACAGAAATGAAAGATTTCGAGGTTGATTTTTCCCGAGTTTATGCTTGTAGATATTGATGTAGCTATCAATGTAGAATTTCGATGCATAAATCGAAGAAGTAAAAGAAGTAGTAGTAGTAGTCAACGAATCCGTGGATATCGTAGAAGTAGAAATAGAAACACTCGTATGCACCTCTGCACTAATCATCAACGAAGAAGCATCCGAATTCTGCGGGCGAGGAGGCGGAGATGGTGATGGTGATGGTGATAATGGACCTTTGCCGTTATTATTTTCTCCCATTCCATTTCCATCCCCATTACCCATATTATTATTCCCCTGATTCATATTTCCCACTCCTACTCCCACTCCCACTCCCTCTCCTTCATCTACCCCATCTCTCTCATTTCCTTCTAATAATCCCTCTGCATCTACTACATCTGCTCCATCTGTTGCAACTCCCTCACTCACGAAACCGAGTAAATAATCCTGGGGTTGGGGTGCCATCAATTCCGAGGAGATATACACTCGATGAGATAATATTGGAATGGACACGATAAATTTCGATGGAAAAAAAAAAATAGTATCTAAGTAAAAATAAACAATTCTTTTCAAAACGAGATACTGGAAGTAGGATGAAACGAACAAATAAATAAAGAAACAAACATTACAATTTCATTCACGGAAGATTGATTATCTGATCTGACCAATCCATTGTTATTTTGATCGTTATAATAGTAATCAATGGATAAGAAATGATATTCAATCTTCTAGAAATCAAAGCGAAGCAAAAACAGGATTGAAAGAATAACTCGAAGATCATCGGGAAACAGAAAATAAAAATTGAAGATACCTAGTATGTCTAAAGTGTAATAGTGTAATAGTGTGACTTTTTGACCTCAAACCATCCCGCGACAATACATGACTGACCACACACAAAATGTCCCATCTGAACTTTTTTCTTCATGCCAAGGTACCTGAGCGCTTAATTCGAATGAAGGTATTCTATTTTTTTTGATGAGAATTTCTTCCGTCGTGCATGCTATGTATATTCGATAATTAAGGTAAGAAGAAATTGTCCTGTTGCAATTTTGCGGCCATAATCTTTGTTCTTATTATATCGTGGGATATGATCATTAAAGGATATAAATCCAACCTCCGTTTCTGTGGCTTAGACCTCCTGTTTGAATGGCTGGTGATTTGAACGCTTGGAAAGTTTATATGGTGGAGCGTTGGTGTTTCATGTTTCGACATGGAACCTAAGGTGAGGCGGTGAGGGACTTGACTATCTTTCTGTCATCTATCTTGCGGGAAGGTGACGTGAACTCAGGGATTTGGATGAAAAGATCACTACCGTGTTGATATGTATAGCTAGTATGGTGCAGAAAGTGCATGACCTCCATTACCGTGATGAATACTGCATTTCTCAGTCGATCATTCTCGACTAAGGAACCTCATTAATTCCCAAAGTGCATAACTCATTCCCAATAGCATTGTTAACAGCCAAGTCGTTAATAACAGTATTGACCTGCATTACAATCTGTAGCCATTCTTCTATTAAAGGTGACGAGTTTGATTGAGCCATGATCTTCAAAACATGTAGTCCTTGCCGAGAACACCACCTGCGTCTGACTTCTCCATGATACATAGATACTAGAACCATACCTATCCCTTGTTTATATCCTTCCAAGTCGTATTGAGATAGTAATTTTTTTCCAAGATTATAACATTGCTCATAGTCTCCTGCCCGATATGCCTGCATGGCGCTGGTGATGATTACGAGGTTGCTGGCTGCGTGTGATGCTTCCTCCGCTTAATCACGCGCCCTCAAACGCTCATGCTCGTGAAGATTCATAGCCTTGCCCACTCTATCAATGAGTTGTTCGTGAGATTCGCCTTTACCTGGTTTTACTCGTCGGCCAAGAATGAAATAGGTAGCTCGTAATGTGAACAAGATTTGATCAAATTGCAGGCGCAAATTATAATAATCTTGTCCTAGGGTAGCTATTCCGACGCGATCACAGTCTTCCTGTACCTTTCTGGCCATCTGTCTGGCTTGCAGATTCGTTTCTAATAGAGTGTTGCTGAACTCCAAACTGCTTGGTCTGTCCAAATCTGCTTGGACCATGAAGTCAATGGCAAATTGTGTTTCCTGGTCAGCCTCGCGCCGTAAATTCTCCGCGCAGGTGCGAAGAATTCGATTTATTCCCGAATCCGATAGATCTCCTGGACTTTGTGTAAAATATTTTTCAAGAGCATCATTGCACTGCATGACACGTTGTTTTGTTTCTTCCCGCAAGTCGAGGTACCTAATTGTTTTCAACTTAGTGAACTCATGTTCTTTTTGTTCTATTGCAATGTCATAAGCTTTCCGCTGATTAGGATTCAACGATGAAAGTATTCCAATATCCGACACAACAGCTTCCGCTTCATACATCCACCGCCTTTTAGAGTTATTGAAGACATAACTGGACAACTCCGGACGTGAGGCATCTGGTTCAATGACTACGATTGAGGCTGGTGCTGGCGCTATTATAGATACCCCAAAGCTTGGAGTCATTTTATCCTAGAACTCATCAGTGTTTATATACTCAAAATATTTTGCCAAGACTGGTACTACCTTGTTCGTTTCCTCAAATTGTGCGAAATTCTGTCCAGCTTCGTGCAAGAAAATTCCATTACCATATTTGCGTGCCGGAATCTCTTTACTAAGCAACAGAGCTACTAGTGGAGCACCAACACAATATCCGGGATTCAGTATTTTTGGCATAGCACCTAGAAGCTATAAAAGAGGTCAATTACTGTTCCATACATGTTGAATTCTCAGCATACTCCCTTGACAAACGAATAGCCTAGCTCGCAAAATACCTCCGCCCCTTTACCTCTCTCGTCACCACCGTATGCAGGCTCATCGCGTACAATGGCTCGTCCCATTGGAGAATCTTGGAGCTGATTGAGCGCGTGCTTGAATACTGTTAGCGGCAGCGTTGAGAATAAATCAAAGTTACGATTCTTACCGCAAACTCATGCAAAATAGTTGAGGCAATGTAAAATTGTGATGACGATTTGTCTATCGGTGATAGATCATGCCTGAACAAGGGCAAAAGCATTTGTAAGGCTATTTCAATCCAGACTTTAGTGTCTCTGTAAAATTCTAAATTCCTGTTCTCCCGCTTGGTGTTGACCAATGTGTAGCCTTCCCATCCTAGACTAGGATCATTTGGTGTCATCCTATCCCAGGGTGTAAGAGCTGAAGAACCGATGCCAAATTGTACTCTGCTTCTCATTATACTTTTCATTCCCTCCGTCTTTCTCGCTGTTTGTGCACTGTCACGAAGATGCGGATCTCTTTCATGAAAAAATTGCAAGGGCCCCTGTTCGAGCTTCTGCCAAGCGGGACAACGATCGAGGCGTTCAGGGACGTCTGTACGAAGTGCAAAATAGAAAGCATCAAGCTACGGAGTCAATCATAAGTGCCCGAATATTTTATCATTGGAAAGAAACTATACCCAACATGTGGCTGCAGAATGGTTTAAAAATCTTGTGCACAGTCTTAAGATTGGGTCTAAGCGTCGCCAGACAGCAGGATTATCTGCTGTCCAAAGCATAGTATTATCCGGTTCTATGGGGAAGAATGGTTCGTGTTGTGGAAACTCTATGTTGAGTACCGGCCAAGTGGCTCCCGGATGATAAAGTTGCCATTGTACGCGTTCAAAAAGCGGACTGAAAAGCAGTTAGGTAAAGGTCATATAGTATTGAGGCTCCTACTGCAGCCTCTATGCAGCGAGTAAACTGTTCAAGAGAAATAGTGGAAGACATCGACAGATGAGCAGAAGAAAGGATCACTCACTCAATTGGGTTGGTTAGAACTGGTGTATAGTTTATATGGTAAGGATATGCCCCAATTTCTTCTAATAGTTCGGGCCAAAATCCAGACATAATCCACTTCTGAAGATTTCTTCTCTCTTCCTGTAAATGGGCATTATCAATTGCATGTGGTGTCAAACCTCAGCGGCTTCATTAGCTAGATACTATGTTAAAGTTGAAAAGGTGCACATACCTGACTTGCCATAGGGATGAAAGAGTTGCGTTGGGTCCATATACTCCGGTAAAACTCCATACTTGTAGGCCCATTTCGTAGCAGCCTGAGTTGCCCAGATGCTGTGGAAACGGCCCAGCTTTGGGTCCCAATCCATCAAGGGGTCTCTGGCGATCACCATTATGCCTACTTGGGAATAACCTTTACAGAACCCAGATATCTCAATAATAAAAGTAGAATAGAAGCTAAGAGTAACAACGACCTAAAACTCAACGAGGAAAATTTGTTTGGTGCTATGAGGAAAACACATTTCTTTATTTGTGTATTCGAGCACGGTATACAAAAGATTGTAAACTAACCTCTGACAGCACCTTGAAGGTTCCGATGAGAACAAAGACTGAAAGGAACTGGGTTCCCTTTGAAAACCTATATCTTCTGCACCAAAAGGGAATCTGTGGAGGCTGGTGATGTGCATTTTGAAGAGTGAGAAAAACACTTGCTTTGCTCAGCTCTAATAGCCCATATATCTTCATCACAACTTTAGACACAAAGATTGTATCAAGAAGCTTTGTTAGTTCCGACTCCCAACAAAGATAAAGAATCAACAGTGTGAAGTGACCGTTGTTTGGTTGGCGAAAGTGGTTCGTAGGCCAAGTTTAGCAAAAGTGTGTGGCTGATTAAATGTGGCTTGCGTAGATTTATCTGTGGCTGGTTTTCTCTGGGTGGGCCCTGTTCCTCGCAAGGTATTCCGAATAGGGTTGGGCTTTTTAGTGTTATATAATTCATAATGTAAAGCAAAATTTTTGCTTTTGTATGTAATCTAGCTTGTAATAACGTGGTTTATCAGTAACCGGAACACTTTTACCTCAATTACCACCTCTCAACTTTAACACGTGATAAATCCATATTCAACCTTTCAAATCAATATGCAAGAGTCGCAAGTTAATCTAGTCATTCAAGCTATTGCTTCATCCAAAAAACTAAGTGTGCGAAGAGCTGCTAAAATCTATAATATACTGCATACTACCCTTATTTACAGAATAACCGGTTGAACACCGAAAGCTGGATCTCGATCAATATATTGTAAAATGACTGAATTAGAGGAGAAATCGCTTTTTCAATATATAATTGATATAGATAAGAGAGGGTTTAGTTCTTGAATAAATGATATGGAAGATATAGCGAATTATATACTTGAAACGCAGAATGCGAAGAAGGTTGGAAAGCTCTAGGCTCATCGCTTTGTGAAACGATATATAGAATTAAAGATGTGTTTTAATTGTGTTTATGATTTTCAAAGAGCTCTTTACGAAGATTCAAAGCTTATTAAGAGATGGTTTCGATTAGTATCGAATATGCAGGCCAAATATGGTATTCTAAACTGTGATTTCTACAACTTTGATGAGACAGGCTTTATGATAGAACAAATATCACTATATATAATAGTTACTAAAGCTGATCGATGTGGAAAAAGCAAAGCTATATAATTAAGTAATCGAGAATGGATTATAGCGATTATTTGTATTGATGGAGAAGGTTATAATATATCTTTATTTTTGATAGTGAAAGACAAATACTATCTTTCAAATTGATATACCGAAGGCGATTTACTATACGATTGGCTTATTAAACCTATTACCAATAAATGAACAAATAATAAGATAGATCTTGAATGAATTAAACACTTCAACAAATATATTAAAAGTAGGAAAGTGGGTAGATATCGAATACTAGTGCTTGATAGGCATGAAAGTTATAAATCGCCAGCATTTCAGGAATACTGCAAGGAATACAATATTATATTACTTAGTTTACTATCTCATTCTTTGTATTTAACTCAACCATTCGATATCAATTGTTTTGATTCTTTAAAGCATTTATATAATCGACAAATCGAGAACTTTATCAAGATGTATATTACTCATATTACCAAAACCGAGTTCTTTCAAGTTTTCAAAGTTGTATATATCGAAACAATATCTATATCAAATAATAAAGCTGGGTTCTGTAGAGCTGGGCTAATCCTATTTAATCCGGAAATTGTATTTTCAAAGCTAGATATTCGAATAAGAACTTTATCAAATAGATCAATATCAGCTGATCCTAATATATAGCAATCTCAAACACCTCACAATCCAATTAAAGCTCTTTCCCAATCCATTTTAATGAAAAGTCATATTGCTCGACATCAAGAAAGCTCACCTACTCCAATATTTGAAACAATTGCAGCTTTAGCTAAGGGTACAGAGCTTCTAGCTCATGTGTTGACCTCCTGGGATCTTGGCAGCATATGCATAAATATTGCATGATGCATATAAGGAGCAAACAAAACTCAACTTTTAATTCATTCTTTCCTTCTTGGTATACTGTTTGTTTGCTTTCAATATTTTGATTTCAAAGCACTTTAATTCCGAAGGCTGAATACCTAACCTCATTCCTTCATTTTTTTGAATATATACTCGCAGCTTAACTGCTTAGCTAGAGAATCAATCAATTCAATCTGATGCTCTTTCTGGTCTCAAGAAACCCAACATCATGCGAATATGCTTTTAACTGTTGAGGTTCATAGTCTCCGCAAAGCAAATGAAGCACTTAGTAAATATTGGAAAGCTAGAAAAGCTTTAATACGAAAAGAAGGAGCATTTTCAATAGAAGATGGATATAGTATATTAGAACAAGAGAATATAGAAGATCAGATACAATGCGACGAATATACCAATGATGGTTCTTCAGCAAGAAGGCAAGCTACTATACAATGATGTAGCAGATGTAATAGTACTTTATATAATGCACAAACTTGTCAGTTCGATCTAGCATTAGTTGATCTTTAGATTGTATATAATTCAATCCTAATTTATGTTAAAGTGAATGGTTCCTGCGTAGCACGTGCACAGGGCACTAGTCCTATTAGGACTAGATTGAGAAGCTCTCTTACAGAGAGCTTCGCACTTCCGTAGAACTTAGAAGAGAGATTAACCTACTAGACCAATATTACCTCAGTTCTGCCCTATCAGCTTCCCACTATTCCCTGTGTAAGGTCATTCCTTTTAACAATTTATAGTGTTGTTGTAATTTTATTTTAATGGAATGTGGGTAATTGAGGTAAAAGTGTTCCGGTTACTGATATGTGTTACGTAGTAACAGTCAACCTGTCCATATGAGCTTAGACCCCGTGGAAAAGCAAACCGATTCGCATACAATTTTGTATGGTAATCGGTTCGTAGAGTCTCCCCACCTTCAGCAAGCACAGACATATAGTCTGATCCAAGTCACGTGATGGACCCTGCATATTCAGGGATACGAATCGTAGGTCCATACGAATCGTAGGTCCATACGAATCGAAGGTCCACAAACTCTCAGGATCCAAGAGATCCAATGGAGGACGAAGGTCTATATAATCAGGATGGTTTCCTTTGTGTAGAGCTTCGTGCTCAAGATCAATCATTTAGTATACTCTACTATTAGTTACGAATTGCATATCATTATTGTCATTACTTAAGTCCCTGCTTGACGCCTAGTTATAAACCACCTCGAGAGCCTGGAGCACTTCCACGTGATCTAGACGGCAAACCTCGTAACAATATGTTCCGGTTACTGATAAACCACGTTACATAAAGCTAATATGGTGGGGTAAATTGAAGCTATTTTGGGATTTATTGATCTTGTCGTCGATGTTATTATAATTCTTATTTTTTTTCATTTTTGAATGATTTTGTTAATAAGCAAGCAGGGATTGGAAAATTGGGGCCTTCTGATTGGTCAGAGTTGATCACGTGTGTAACGTAATCTATAATCTAGCTCAAGCGTTACATTATGCTTTTTTTGTAATCTAGCTCTGCTTTACGTAAAGGGCCCACCCCTAATTCCGAAGCCCTTTCCCTATGGCGGGGTACAATCCACCACACCAAATGGGAAGGGCTCGGGAGAACCCCCACTCGAAGAATCTTTACCCCGCTGTTATTTAATCGTCGTAATACCATCAGAGCGATTTCAATTCATAACTAGGATCTTCATCCTTATTATCTTCGCGGTTTCGGTCCCGTTCCTCTTCCTAACATTTCATACTGAACTAGATTTACACATAATGTCACATTCTATGAAAGATAATAAAGCAATTCGCATGCTTCAAGCAGCAGAAGACGGTGGTTATGGTGTTGTAGGAGTAGTCTCCGTACGTACATTTCACGAAAACAGAAACTCTCACTCTCTTTCCATCCCCCCTTACCATATAACTGATTCCCTATCTCTCAGTACAACCTCGAAACCATAACCGCCATTGTTCGCGCCGCAGAAAGAAAACGTTCTCCCGCACAAATCCTACTCTTCCCATGGTCCCTTCACTACTCCCCGCTTCTAATTCATCTTGCAGCCGCCGCGTGTCGAACCGCTACTGTACCCATAGTTTTACACATGGACCACGCACAATCTGAAGATGAAATCCTTGCCGCTGCTGATATGGGACTTTTCGACAGCATAATGGTAGATATGTCGCATTATGAGAAAGAGGAAAATCTAGAAAAGACCACAAGGTTAACCAAAATTTTGAGGGAGAAAGGCATAGCTGTTGAGGCGGAGTGTGGAAGGATTAATGGGGGCGAGGATGGGGTGAAGGATACAGGGGATTTGGAAGGGTTACTCACGACTCCTGAGGAGGCCATGAAGTTTGTGGACACGGGGGTAGATTTTTTGGCGCCAGCTTTTGGGAACGTGCATGGAAATTATGGTGGGGTGGAGAATATTAAGTTGGATTTTGAAAGGTATCTACAGCATATTTTCTCAAATGCATTGTCATTGGCATTATTTGGAGGCTGACGCATATCCAGACTCGAAAATATAAGAAAAGCCACAAATGGTAGAGTACGTTTAGTTCTCCACGGCACTAATACATTCCCTGATGATACAATGAGGCAATGTATAAAAGGAGGGATGACACGATGTAATCTGAATGATTTGGTTTTAAATGCCTACAACAAATATGTAGCGGAGAACACGGGAAAAGTCCCTCTGACGGAACTTATGGAAAGAGGCACAAGTTTGATCCAGGAATTGATCGAACATCAGATGGATATCATAGGCTCGACTGGAAAAGCATGATGGTAGTAATACAAGAAATTAATGGAGAGTTTAATAATGTGGTAGGTCTACCGATTTGAGTGTGAATGACTGTGTTTTGGAGTAAGTGCACCGCCGTGACTCCCTTTGATAAGTACATGGGGAAGAAAACGACTAATTCTATAATTTTGGCATTGTTCGCTTTTTGGTATTGTCACTGATAGTGAGCTAGAGCTGCACAACCTCCCCTGGAAATTACCTCTCCTTAAAAAACCTACCCAGGCTAATCTACAACTATTTCAGTCCACTAGACACAATGCACAACACATTACATCATCAACACCAAGAATACTAGCGTGTTCAAACATGGGGAGCAAAAAATCATCTATAAACTAGCCTTTCATGCAATCAAAAAGACCATATTCCCAGAAACCATAGAAGCAGAAATAAACAGCCCTCCCACATAAATATAGTAAACGATACCCCGTCAAAAATCCATAAATGCAATGCATTTAAAATTACTGCTTTTTTATGAAATAAAATCCCCAGCTCCCGCATTGCTTTTGTACGTCCGATCCATCAATGAATAACCTCTCATGTCACGCCCATGAAGAATATCTTCGGTATCGAAATCCTGAGATTGGAGGTGAGCGAGATATGGAGGGGAAGGCGAAAGATGTTGACAAGCAGGCAACTATGAAAAGGGGGAAAGAAGAAGAGAAAATCCAAGTCTATTGGTAGATTTTGACAGAATTGACAAGCCAGTATGCATCGTCGAAGGCATGGGGAACCTTGGCGACGTATTCTTGGCAGGTCGAATAGCCAGTCTTTGCGGGACAGTCCGACCAGTCGGACCAGGCTTGCCCGCCAGCTCCAGCGCCGCAAAAGGTCGTGTCGAAGTACTAGGTGGGATTAATTTGATTTGACTTTATAGCGAAGGATAGAAAGAATAAGGTTGAGGATGGTTTGAGGAGGAATAGGGGTAGGAGATTCAGAAGAGAGTAAGACTTACGACTGTCTGAGCCGGGAAATTAGCATCGAGATCACAACCGCCATTCGCACTGTCGAAGTTGGCAGTAGGTAGTCCCCACTTTGCTGGATTCGGAGTACCAGCCTTGATATCAGCAGGAATCTTGCTACGTGCAAAGAACCAAACTCTGATAAAAGAAGAGGTCCATTGCATAGCATAGATACCACCACCATTCTTATTGAAAGGTGTTCCATAGGAGTCTGCGCTAGACTGAATAGAACATCCTGCACCGTTGTTTAGTTGACAATTTGTATTGCCGTTGTTGAGATTGCCGAGCTGAGAAGCCTTAGGAGAGTTAAAGGTGCAGCTCTTTTCGGTATGGAGAGAGATATAGGCCTGAGTGATGTCGTTGAAGCCTTCGAGGATATCAATTTCACCATATGGAAGATCACCACCATTACGAATGGTCCAGCTAGCGAGCGGGTCAGCGAATACTGCTAGTGTTGGTCGATTTCTGGGGATTAGATGAAAGGTGAATACTTACAAACCGGGCCATGTACCACAGTCGCTAGCGGGCATGTGGGCAAAATCACCAATGAGAATACCATGGGTAAACTCGTGAACTGATTCAACCCAGATGCTATTACGCTTTCCGTTGACAGTATCGGATAGAACTGTGGTATTATCGACGCCCATGTAAACCTGGTTACCAATGACCTTGGTCAAACCAAGCTTCTGCGCTTCAGCTAAAGAGACATAGTTGACATTTCCGTGGGTAGGGTCAGGAAGCTAGATGTTGTTAGTCTCTCTTTTAGATCGAAAATGTCTGGGAATTCTGACATTCTCATAGATGAATGAAGTGAACCAGTTGGTATGATCATAATTATGAACCAGCTTGTATCCACTCGTCATAGAGACGAGGCCCGAAAACGCACAAAGGGCGGAAAATGTAAGAAACTGCATTTTGAATTAAACTAAAGTCCAGCTTGTGTACTGAAGGAGTGTATGTTTGTATGAAGGAAAGTAATGTACGAGAAGTACGAAGAGACAGACAGACCAGTCTGATAACAACGAAGGGGATACACTTGTCGAAAGGAATATGGTTGAGGTTGTAGAATAGAAGAAGAAATTCTCAAATCAAGGTTGGGTGGAAGACTTATATAAACATTCTGTACGGTACAAGACAGACATTGCTAATCATCCTTAGGTGAATCAACCGCACTCTCCTCGATCCTTAGATGAATCAACCCTACTCTCCCCACAATTTGCCATACAGAGACGCTTCATCTCCAATTAGGATGCGGGGATTCAAAGATCCATAGGTGAATTTCGATATTGGTTGTTGTAGAATACTGGGTAAATGAATCCTATAGATCAATTACAGATATCACACTTCCCTGTCCGAGAACGATGGATCGGGTAATTTTAGATGAGAGGAATCTCATGGAAGATTAATATGCATATCCCCGAGATAACCTTGGCAAGTGCCGGATGTGGAAGTGGAGGAAGAGAAGGATGAAGGATACGCCCAATTTTGTTCTTTTTTGTTCGGTGTGATGGTTTGTTCGACAGTGTTTCAAAACTGGGGAATTCTTCGGTGTGAATCTTGGAATTAGTACAGTGGTAGTAGGATGATTTAAGTTGCGTTGGATTCTTGGCTGGATGGATGCCGGATGGGCGTTTATTATATGAATTTTGAAGAGCCAGGATGCTTGGCTGTATGTAATTCTCAAGTGACGATACCTACCTAGGTACTTCTACATCCCATCTAGAAGATTTTCACAAACATGGTACGCATACCCCAATGCTTAAATCATAAATACACCAATAGTAACAACTTAAAATTCACCTCCACATCATGAATCCAAAATATCATTTCTAAAGTGGACCTCGTGGGATTTTCCCAAACATTTTTGTTAATTATACGGATACTTTTGAATTCGACGCTGATTTTTTCACTCAGATATCGAGATTCGATACAAATAATGTTAAGTTATTTAATAAGAACATGTGATTTATCCCTGTACAACATGAAACACAGTCCTTGAATGCTAGAGATGGCGCAGTGGGGATCATGTAAGCTGATTCCTTCGTTGAAGATTATTGTACGTAGGACCAACTGAGGGTAGAATCCTTCGAGACTGAATGTGAGAACTTTAGAATTTAGAACGCCTAGGGTGGTGAAGATGTTGGTTTGTGGCTGTGGGTAGGTATATGAAGCTCAAATTTATATATATATGTGTGTATGTATGAGGGTGGTGTTTCTCATGCTTGATTTTTGGATATCGAATTGTTTATTGTTTCTCTTTCTGCTGTGTAAACCTCGAATATTTGAGCATGCAAAGCCATGACATCAACAACCAAGACTGTGTATAAACTCGCAAACAGCTCAAAGGTTATCTTACCTCGTTAATTTACCTAATTAATAATGATTGTTTCATTACCAAAACGAAATAAGAATCAAGAGTCGCTCATCTGGCGATGTAGACAGCACATGGTGGTAATTCCAACTCAACATCAGGAAAGACCACATTCTAGGACTATCTTCGAGCTCTGAGGTTCAAGTGTGAGGCTACTTTAAAAGTTTAAATTACATGACATACAATTATCGACTTTACTCGCAGCTTCACTTCCATCTTGACTTCCAGCCTTTCAAGTATCAACACCAACTTCCCTTTTTTGTACACATCTTCTAGTTTTCGACACACTTGTCTAATAGTGCCGTATATACTTACGCCGCTAGAACAGGGAAAAAAGAAAGATAGGGGGCGAATGTCAGAAGTTTCGAGATTTGAGACGGATGTGGTGGTGTTGATAATGTGCTGATACAGAGTTGCACAACAACTTGGGGGGCAAATCCATTTCATCACATGCGGACTTACTTCTTTATATTTTAGAATGATGTATTGCCATTTTCACTTTATATGTAACTCACTCTGAGAATAAGCCGCATACATAATGCAATGGTCAGGCGTACTTGAAGGTGCGTCCCAAAACATCAGGCTGAGTTTACTAGATAGAAATAAATAGTAGATTCAATATATATATTGAAGATTCCAAGAGAAGGGGCAAAAGCTATTGTAGGGACGAACTACTTGTTCACGAAATGCTTGGCAGAAGATGGCGGTACCAAAAACCGTTGACGTGAGGCAACTCCCATAACGCAATCAACAGCGAAACACCCGTATATTCTCTCTCTACTAGATATAAAATCTCATTACAATATAAATATCCCTTAATAAAATAATCCATCTAGATCCTAGAGCCGATAAAAAGATTATTTCTGTTCGTCTGAATTAGATGCAGTCTAGCAGATACTACAATAGCAAAATGCCTAATTTGAATCGCAATATTCTAGAGATTTCTCCTGCATCTAAAATGATAACTACAAGGTATTGCAAATTGATCATTAAGCAATCTATTTATATTCACTGATACTTGTTTATATGTATCATTCACTAGTGAGTTGACGCCAATAAAAATTCTGGAATAGAGGAAGCTCGTTGGAGTGGAAGCGAGGAGTAGTGAGTGTGGAGATGGGGAAGTAATGATGGTGAATAACACAAGTGATGTTAGTGATAGTGAATGATTGTTTATGATTAGGTAGTTTGATAATTTGTTATAATTTCATTTTCCTGTTCTTTACGGATGTTCTGTGGTATTGGATAGAGGAAATAATGGGGTTAAGAATTACCAATACTCCCGTGTCACTAAACTCAATGCCACCAGTTTGTATATTATCATGGTACCTCATTGCAGTACTTCTCTCTAGCAAGTCTTTTTCGTGATTTGTGATATTGAATGGTTGATATGAATTTGAACTTCTAGGCTTCGGAATGAATTCTTTACTAATTTTGAATAGATTTAGTTAAATACTGCATCAATATCTGCTGGAAGAGGCGGCTTGTCAAATATCATCCGTTTCATTTCGCACGATCGAGTAGATTACGAACGTTGGAGTTTACAATCACCAAATCTCATTCACTTTGTATGAACTGTGTTACTATACATGGTTACTCACAGGACAAATAAGCAGATAATTGTACACCGAGATTTCATTAAGTGCCCATTCGCATTATCATCATTCAAACATTCATTCATCTATCGAGCTCTAATCAACGACACTGCAGCAATTATAAGCAAGCAGATGTCGGACTCTGTATACATAAAATCTATCATAAAAATTACCCAGTTCATTATCATAACCCATCTAAGTAGTCTTATCATCCGTAGCACCGTTCTCAACTCTAACAGTACCAGCTTTACTTCCAACGGACTCGTCACCCTCATAGTGAACAACTTCCTTCTTTGAATGAAGCACTGCTTCTACATCCTGAGCTCTTTGCTCAGCATTAACAGCTCCAAATAGGATATCTAATTCCTCCAACGTCTTTCCCTTGGTCTCCTTAACGATGAGGAAAGCCCAAGTACCCATACCGAAACAGAAGAAACCAAACATCAAGAAGGTTCTCCATCCAATGTTTGAAACAGCGATAGGTGTAATTTCAGTCACGGCAAAGTTACACAACCATTGAGTTGAAGCTGCAAGACCAACACCATAGGAACGAAGACGTGTGGGGAATATCTCAGACACGTAGACCCATGGGATAGGACCCCAGGATGCGGAATATCCAATGACGTACAGGTAGATCATTACGACCATGGCGATGGATGCGGGAGCGACGGTGGTTGCTTTGGTGTTGGGTGGGTGAGTAACGAGGACAGCAGATAGGATAAACATCATGCTCATCATCCAGGCGGCACCAAAGATCAGAGACTTGCGACGACCTAATGTATCGATTCCAGTAAACAAGAAGATACCCGTAGTAATGACTTTAACGGTACCATAAATACCGGTCGCAAACAAGGCGGTGTTGGCTGCAGAGATACCGATGGTCTCAAAAATTTGTGGCGCATAGTATCCAATAGAGTTAGTTCCGGAGAATTGTTGCCAGAACATAAGGCAGAAAGCTGTAAAGAATCTGATTCGGTTGGCTGGTGCGAGACACTCTTTCCAGGAAAGTCCTTCAGTTGCAGCAAGTTCTTCTTCAATGGATGCACGGATCTCGGCAATTTCTTGCATAATTTCCTCATCTTCAGGTGTGGTACATCTGGTCCACGCCATTGAAGCAGTAGCTTCCTCATACCTTCCTTGCTTAGCCAACCATCTTGGAGATTCTTTCAAGAAGAGGAGACCGATTAGGAGGAATCCACCAGGGATGAGTTGAATAGCGACTGGGATTCTCCATTGCTTGGTGGATGTTGGAATGTGCAATGCAACACCGTAGTTCAACCAGTAAGCGAAGGTAGAACCGAGAACCAAGAACTCTTGAAACATTCCGGTGATACGTCCTCTAATAGCGGGAGGAGCATTCTCTGTGACATAAACAGGAGTGATAGAGGACATTCCTCCAACACCCAGACCAGCAATAACACGACCAGCATATATTTGTCCAATACTATGACTAGCACTAGTTTGAACAGCGGCACCGACCAGGAAAATAAAGCTGAACCCGATGAGAGAAAATTTTCTTCCAAACCGATCATTGCAGTAAGCGGCGGCTATAGAGCCGAAGAAACAACCAGCTGTAAGTAATGAAACAACATTCGAAGCAACCTGTGCATTCTCACTTCCACCAAATCCTGTTGACTCAAGCGGAAGTCCGAAATCGCCTCTGAAACTTTTAAGGGCTAAAACAGAACCCATCACACCGGTATCATATCCTGTGTGCACAAACTTATGTCAGCCATGTTCCGCTTTTATGACTCGCTCCTGGGAGTATGGAAGAAACTTGAAGTATGGAGCATAAATCAACTTACCGAAAAGTAATGAGCCCATGTAAGCCACGGCCGTCAGAAAATAGATGCGATAATTCTTGAAAAAGGAGGACGGCATGTTGACTGTTTTGCTGTCGAGGCAATTCTTGACAACTTTGGATATGTTATTCGACAAGAGGCCGATAAAGAAGAGAGAAAGAGGTTCATTCTGAGGGAGGTATCAATGTATGTTATGTACTTTCCAAAGTGGCTAAAACACAAACCACGAGCAGCAAGATGTTTCGTTGGATGGGCTTGCAGTTTATTCGTGGGAAAATTGTGTTCTCAATCTGACCTATGAACAGGGGAGAAGTAATTCCACCATTTAAAATAGAGAAAAACCAACATGTTGGCTGGAAGCCAAGCCATTGCAGAATAGTGGGCGGCTTCCCATTCTTTAGTGGTGTTGTTGATATTACTCAGGGGTTATAAATGGTTGATAATTCTTGGCGTCAATAATCCCCATGGGGTGGCAAATACCATGTTTGTTCGCCCACGGGGTCGATGGTTCCACTGAAGTCATACCTTGGAAAGTCTACTCCGTACGGAGTAGTAGTGACTTCCAACAATTCCCACACACCCCTTCATCCTGTATCAATTTGACGCAAATAATTAGAAGGATCTACGCGGCCCGGGCGGAAAATAAGCGAACCCGCCCCGTAAAAGTTGAAGATTTTGCAATTTTTAAAAAATACATATCGAGGTTTGAAAGAATGATAATGTTTTAGGTTTGAGTTTGCCCCTTTTGTTGTTCTCTTTCTGAATATGAAGTCTAGCATTGACTGCCAGATCACATAAGCTTGATAGGGAGCAAGCTCTCCCCTGCGTGTATAGGGAAACTAGAGCGAACATGCAAATACTGTATGAACGGACAAGGGTGCTGATAGCTGTTGTGGGGCAGGGTGGTTGGTAAGAATGGGTCTACGACTCTACGCGTATGTTTTCGCTCGGGTTATCCGAGGTTGGATGACTGGAGTAATGGAGTGAGTCTATGCTTCATGATACTTGAAGCGATCCGCCAAATCAATTTCTGGAGAAAATATGGAGAAATTCTCTTTTCTGATCAGTTTTTGCGTATACCCCGGACGGGGCCAAGATTGCAAATTTCTCCCCATCACGAGTATTGAGGTCGAAGCTTAAGCCTTCGAGCTGCTTACATTACTCCTATTCTTTAGGAATCAATTCTGCTATTCAAATGGATATCATGGCCTTTGACGCCGTCGTGGGATCAAAGTTGCCAGCGGTAAACAGTTTGCAGCGTCTATCTTTTTCTAGCGCCTGAGCTCCGCCCTGAAAATTGCGAAATCTTTTGACGCTGTCTTAAACGCGCGATAAAACAGCCTTGCTGCGCCTGAAGGAGGTAAATTTACTGATTAGCATCAAAAATTGCTAATGTGAGAAACGACATGAAGAGCATCCATTTTACAAATGCAAAAATTCCCACGGAGAAATTCATTCCCAGCGAATTAATCGGTATCAAATAAAATCAAAAAATGGGTCGCCGGCCAACTTATGACAACAACGACCCAACTAGTGAAGCAGAAAGACATCATCGCATCCACAAGTCATGATTTTATTATTCATCTCCAGAACTCCGCAAACTTTTGTCGGCGTTTACATTGTCATCTTCTTTTCCCAAAAGGGAAACCGATAAAAAGTCTTTCACAATGCTTACATCAAAAAAATGTATCCCGCTGCTTTCGCATGACATGATACTTCGAAGTGCTTCAGTCGAATGGCAAGTTTAGATTTAGTCTAGATCTAGGAAGTTGCTTGGCTCCCGCTCATAGCTCCAGTTTGGGCTCTAGCGAAAATAAGGATAATGGATCTGGTTACTTTATCGATTTACTAAATCGACTACCCCTTTAAAGCGGTGTATTCAACAGAGGAGGTCGGTTGAGATAATCTCTCACAGTCTGCGATTTGCGGGACAGTTTTTCGCAATTGAATGTCACAGGTTTCTCCATTAACCATGTCTCATTTTCCAGAGGTCATCAGTTTTGTATATGAAAAAAGGATGAATCATTCCTTCCCCTTTCATCATTATTTGCGTTACAACACTTGAGAACTCAGACTGATCAAAGCGCGATTTTTCAACATCAACAAAACGAACATCTGCGGAAGTCTCTGCTAGACATCATACCGAGAAGAAAACATACGTACCGATATGGCCATTCGGAAGATCCATCTTCACACTTGTGAACCTCAACACAACGAATTCCCATCCTTTCAACCGATCCCGAGTCTTCATTTCTTATACTTCGAAACGCATAGACGGATCAATCTTCGGGAGGGCATCAAGACAAATATCATGCGACTTATCATATCGCATCTCAAACATATATATGCTGTGCGACACGTCAACAAGCCACTTGCGTCAAAATCTGATCTTGTGCTTCGGATTTCCAAGTTTTACTGCCCTCATCCATCCTAATTGGGATTCTGCTATGAAGTTGAGAACGAGTGGTGATGACAAGATATTTTGATAATTGCTTTTTAACAATATCAATGGACCGAGTCTCGACTCCTAACGTTTTCAAATTTCCTCACGACCTTGCATTTTGTTTTGACAATACGAAATTTCAACTTGAGAAACAACAGTTTCACAAATCTAACTCAGATCTAACTCAGGCTTCTTTCTCCATCAATCTACATCTCCACCTCCGTTCCAAATCACACGGTCTCATCTCATCTCATCTCATGATCTAAGTACATCTCATCTCGCACCAAATTCCACCTACCACCCAAACTCCACTCCGATCGGAAAAATCCCAGCAATGAGTAACCTCAGTAAAAGCCTATTTCCTCCATTCCCTCCCACACTGATGAGTGTGCTCCAACGCGAAATCCCAGTCACACCTCACAACATCGACTCGCTTGTGTCGTGCTACTTTCGCATCTTCAATACCCCCGACCATTACTATCCATGAAACGTCACACCATAATACATCAGCTCTGCATATCTTCCACCACCATCTCGTACATGGTGTCCGATGCCAGATCTCGACCCGCCGTACCACGCGACCGATATTCAGCCCTCTGAAGATAGCCCGTGCCTGCAAGCCACCGACCTCATATTTCAATCGTACATTCTTGAGGGTTCATATCCTTGACCGCCGTTGTCCCAAACTCGGAGGTTATTGACATCTGGGAATGGGGAAATATAGAGATTAATTTAGATTAACGAGACCTTTTTTTTGTCTCGAGTAGCACTTCTATATTAGCTGCTCTGCGCTGGCCGTGCGGATGGGACACAGATACAAATATATACCAATTGAACATTGGAGAGGAAAGAAACAAGAATAAGTTTTGAGAGTAACGGCGGGCGGTAGAAAAAAAGAGAATAATAGTACATGTTTATTTACATGTTTACTGATCAATCTAGTTCGCTCTATCAGGGACATCGAAAAAGCAAAATGCGCACAAACACGTCTAGGAAACCACAAATCCCTTTCTAGATGGACCCTTTGATTGTCTCATCCCGAATAACCTTTTCTTCCCGTATCTTAATGCTACACAACTAGTTTGGCATTTGGCATCTATCATAATCATACCGCTCATTTGGCTCCTCCACAAACGAACATTGGCAATATCCATGCGCAAAACCAAGCCCTGTCATCCTGTCTCCGATCCGATTCCACCGGGGAAGATATCTTTTCTTCCTGCAGATAATGTTTGTGAGATAGATGCAGAGTAAGGTGGACCCTTACCTCTTCTAGTGGGTGAAACTTAGTTCTGTAAAGACGGGATAAACGTCATGACGTATATATTTATGATAACCGAGGATGTGTCAATGTTAAACATCTATGCATGTGTTTTGAGTAAGGTAGGTAGGTAAGTGCTTTTTGGTAAATTTCTTGATAGGCTTGGTGTCTATTGATCCTGTATATTTTCTTTATTGACATGCTTTCTTTTCTGTACGAGGAAGATGGAGAGGTAGAGATTGTTTTTGCATGAATCTAAAGGTTGTGCATTTCATTGCTAACACGAGAATGAGAATAATGGGTGGAAAGGAGACAAGGAGGGATATTTACCTCTGGACTTTGAGATTTCCTTCTCACTACCCTCGCTGTTAAATACAATAAATACAATAAATACAATAATAATCTATCAATTTCCCAACATAAACACTATCCCACATATTCCTAATCTTAATCATCATATGTCTCCCTCTTTCCCCCCCAAAAGACTTACTCCATAAATCCATAAATCAAACCCTCCAAACCCTCCCCTTCTTCTACCTACCCCAACCTCAAACCCCCACCTCCACAATTCCCAATCAAATCCGCAATGTATGATTCTAGAACCCGCCGATCCAGAAGAATATTCCCCATCCCCTTCCATCTCAAAATCTCAAATTTCACATCTCACAAGTATACGTACAACCGGCTGATCCCATAACCACGGTCCCGGATAAGACACTGGACAGCTAGGAGTTGGGAGTTGGGTTGTTTTTATATTTATAGAATATATTGAAGGGAGAGTGGTGAAGAGTATTTGTTGATTCGTTAGTGGATTTGTGTTTTTGAATTTTGAAATTTTAAAATTTAAAATTTTAGTGTAATTATGTAAGATTTGATATAAAAGAAATGTCTAATTTGATTTTTTAATATTAGTTTATTTAGTTGTGGTATTTATAAGGTTTTATAAGATTTGCACTATATTTATAAATGATAATTTTAAATAAGAATATATATATGAATTTAAAGATTGATTATTTAATTTTTTTTATTAAAGAATATAATAAATTAAATATAATAATAGTATATTATATGAAAAGATTTATTTATATATAGATGATTATATTTATTCTATCATCCCATATCCTTTTTTATTTATCTCTTTTTACTCTTTTTCAAAATATAAATCTTAAATATTTATTATAATCTTTTTATAAAAATATACTAAACCTAAACCCAATCTCAATCTCAAATCCCACACCCAAAATTGCAAACCCCAAATCTAAATCTATATAAACTCACTAATACTTAAAAAACCACTTTAGTTCATCCCCAATTAACCCCCTCCCCTCCCCCTCTTTTTTATTTAAAGATACCTAATAAACCCACTCTACCCCATCCTAGCCTATCCCCTCATTCTCAATCCCCGGTCCAACCGAATCCAACCCCTCCCTCCGTTTCTTTCACAATAAACCATCATTAATAAAATTTATATACATTTCATACCTTACTCCTCACTCATAAACCATTCACCTCACCCGTCCCTCACCCCCTCCTCATACCTCCCTCAACCCAAAACCATCTAATCACCCCCAGATCAGCCCGCATACTCATCATCTAATACAAAATACAGACTTCTTTATCTCCATAAACTCATCCACCCAAATTAATCTTAACCTTAACCTTACCCTTAACCTTACCATATAAGTCTTATAATACAGCGGGGTAAATTTTAAATTTTGATTTATGATCTTGAGTTTCGAGTTTCTGGTATTTTTATAACAAGGTTATTATAAGTTTATTCTATATAGTATTATAGATTTATTCATTGAGGGTTTGTTTGGTATATAATGAAGGGAAGTATTATTGTGAGTTATTACAGGATTTAGAGGTTTGAGGTTTGGAGAGTTGAGGTTGGAGATTTGAGATTTGGTAGAAATATGCAATGAAATTGAATAAGATAGATAGAAGATGACAACACCGAATACAATTCCCATCACAGCCTTTCAAATAGACCGACAGAAACACATCATAAGGTTAAGGTTAAATTAAGAGAATGAATTTATAAAAATTACATCTTAACCTTACATCTATCTAATCAAGAACCACGAACCTCACCCTTCACTATCCCTTTATCCCCATCACGCAAGAACAGAACTTATAAATATTCTCAAAAGTTCAATTCTTCACCAAAATGTGTACCGCTCCTTTCCTATCCTGTAAAGCCAAATTATATCCACGTCTTTCTACCTAACATTGCCCTATCCGCATAACTAAGAAATCGTCCCTAGCAATCCCCAAAAGTTTTTTCTCATCCCTCCCATCCCCATCCACCACCGACACCTTTCAGTTCGAGAATATATTGTTGATGTTGCGATTTACCATTATGTCGTCTTGTGAGGATATATTCATCTTAGGACTGTAGGGAAAACAGTATGTCGTAAACATGGGAACCTTCAATGCTATTGATCCGTGCATTAGTCGAAATTCATCCGTGCCGTGCAGGTGATAGTTAGGACTACTAATATGGTTACAATCATTGGCATGGTTCTCATAGCGATGAATACTAGGAGGAATAGGAAGCTGTTTGACATAACCTTGGCGCAGATATGACAGCTGTGAGTCTTCTGCTTTGGGAGGAATAAAAGTGATCCGAGGAAGATCGTAATATGACATCTGTCCTCTTCATAATATACATATATTCATGTGCAGCGCTCAACAGAGGTGCTGTAAAGATCATTTGTTCACCCCTGGATCCGTCTATGAAGGTCGAATCGATAATTGAATAATCCATCCCTATTTCCCCAATAAAACTTCGGTATCAGCCGAACCCGGGTAAAAAATGGAGCCTCTTACATCAACAATCACGGATACCATCAAAGCGTATTACGCCCCGACAAATCCCATGGATCTAATATCTCACCATCGTATTGCAATCAAAACAAATACAATAACAATCTCATGCCGACATGGCCGAATTGAAAAAGAAATGACGTAGAAATTGGATTACCCTCAGATCACTGGTGCTGAACTTCAGTGGGACAAATGTTCGGGAGTCTATTCGCCGGGGAAATGGGGCCGGAGCCAGAATCTCGGGGGTCTGCTGATCCATCAGTCTAGAATTGCTTACCCGGCCATTTTGTGCCACGCAAGTAGGGACCAAAAATCTAACCTTAATATTTCTGGAGCTCGCGATATTTTCAGGGGTTTGCCTTGCTCCATTAAAAAGAGACTAGGAAGATATATGCATAAAAAGTAATCATATGATTGTGACAATTTCTTTTGCTTTGCCCGTACTGTAGGATCCCATTTTCTAATTTGCATGCAACGTTGATCTGAAGTAAATTGACACTTGTCTCACGGCACGTAATCCACTAAACTGGGTCGGCGGCTTTCATTAGTGACTAGCAGAAAGAGACAAGATGTGTACTTCACATGGCTTAGATTCGGAGATCTAAATCTTGATGAGTGTCAGGAGGATCACGATATTCGATAGATGAGATTGTGAGTCACATAACGGCCTTGATGAATTGAAGATCCTGTAAATATGTATGGGACCAGGGGTCAAGTAGCGGTCAACAATCACCAGAAGGAAGGCGAGAGCCTTGTAGAGGTGATTTCGGGTGGTTTTGTAGGAATCTTTCGTGTTCTATGCAGTGAGCTATCTAGAGGTCGATCGCAATCTCAATAAGCCGCGCAATACCAGAGGATTCCGTATTACCTCTTTAACGGAAGACTCTGGTCTGACATGACAAGAGTGCTATGTTCGTGCCAATTCAATGATTTCTGAATGTTCCCGATATGATGCTCATTTGAGGGACTGGTGCTTGTTGATGAGCGGCCGGCCACACGGTAAATTTCCAGTGCGTAGATCGAGTTTGTGATCCTAGAGATCTGCCACCAGATCGGAATAGCCATGCTACTTTTCAACGAATCGCGCTGACTAACATGAGAATTATCTGCCACGTAAGGAAAGGGCCGTAAGAGAGAAGGTTCGGCAGGAATCTCCGGTCGGTTAGGTGTTTCCTCAATGGCTTCTCCGAATGTGTTCAAATCGGATACACATGAAGGCGAGTATTCTTACACCTTGGTACGCCATGCCAAAGTGTGCTCAGGGATTTGGCCCGCGATCGATTCTCGACGACAGTAAAGTTTCTTAAAGCTCATGTAAACAATGATAGCGAGGATAAAAAAACCAATTGCAGCGAGTAAGATGATCAGAACCGTAATTCCTTTGACTGTCGATTTCATATGGTATGTGTTGAATCCCGACGTTGACTTCCGAATTGACGTTTGTAGAAAAAGTTCAAAGCCGAATACGCCAAAATGATTGCGACACAGGCGAAAATAGATGGAAGAATGATGCGGAGTATGGTGTCCTCTTCAACAGTATACATGAATCGAGGCTACAACTAAGTGCGAGTCTCAAAAACACTATGAAGAGCATATCAGAAGGTGCCTGTGACACAATACAGCATGACTGCAAGAAGGATGTATCATGATGCCAATGTGATAAGTACCTAGTAATGTGTTCGTTGTGACGGTCCGTGAACTTTTCGAGGGTTGAGAATGACTCGTATGTATTGTTCAAGTCCCACGATCTGAACGCGGAAGAAAATGTCAAACAGTCTTTGAAGTAAGGTTCGTAATACGTGGTATATGGCTGTCTAAGGGTGCCATAGGTAATGAGGGAAATATATGATTAAGGAATGAGAAATAAAAAGAGAGAAATCTTTAGAGTCGATATTAATCGGAAATTTAATGATCATGGTAATCCATGGAGGAAAGAACTCATGATAGGTTTTGGGGGGGTAATTGCGACCTGCAACTGCGCCAACTGTTACCCCTCCTTAACGCTTCGACCCGCAAGCAATGTTCTCTCCTTCCACTTGATGTTTTGTTATCCCTTTGAAAAATAAAATAACAATGACTTCCATCAACCGATTCTTGGTTATGTAAGCGGTTTCCAGTACAATATGTGAAAATAATTACCTCCAAATTTGACCATGATAGATGTGGGGTACAATAGCAGTGAGTAGTTCGTCCAGCAATTGATTATTTGAGGGGCCCAAAACCCTGGTGCAGCGGCAATATGTTGTGATACCAAGATCTCAAACCAGATCTATGAAGCTAGAGGGAGTGTTTCTGCCATGCAGGATACTGGGATTGCAATCTTGGGAATTCTAGCGGTTTCCCGAGTAGAAGAATCTTCATTGAACCCTGTCCCAAAATCAGCCAGCGTCTAGATGAGTCCAGAAGATCGGGTGAATCCCTTCACTCCATTCGCGGAAGTAGGTATAATTGGACACATAATCCACTCGATTTTTATCCTTGCTGGTAGTTTTCTCCAATAATGTCGTGTGACTGTGAAGATTTGGTGAGTATGTCATGAGGCTTTTGATACCCTTGAACCCGAGGCCCGACCCAACAGCAAGTAAACCATGACTATGACCATGAAATTTGAAGCCTCTGAATGTTGATATCACTGATGCGCATTCCAGCTTCAAAAAAGCTTCAGAAAAAATTCACGAAAGGGTGTTATCACTTAACCCCCATGAGAAAAGATATCCGAAGCTGGAACCGATCGGTCATTTGTGATTAAGTTGATGTTTAGCCCTAAATAGCTGAGATCCCCACGAGACCGTAACAGGGTATTGAAAATCGGTCATATAACCTCCAAAAAGGCTTTTGAGGAGCGCCACCAACACACCATACTAAAAAGTGATAATGCATATAACTGAGGAGCTGACACCGCCTTACACTAAGAATTTTAGGAGAGGAAAATAAGACTCTCCCGTGTGTCAATAAGTTTCACTGAAAGAAACCCTTATTCATCCGGCAATTGATTATCCTAAAATCAGATTGACGTGTAGCCCAATTGATGCTAAACTCGGATTGATGTGCGGGTTAGTCAGGTGTAATAAATTGATACTAAACTCGGATTGAGCGAATTAGTCAGGTGCAAAAGTAAATTGATGCTAAACTCGGGCTGAAGTATAGTCAATAAGCTCGGATTAAGGTGTAGAATAGATGATCCATTGACATCAAGGGAAAAGTGCCCGGGTACTATCGACGTACACGGGAAAGAAATGTTAAAAAGAGAAAGATATCTCTCCAATGTAACATCAATCCAAGTTTAATCCAAATTAAATTTGAAATTTTAGTCCCCAATCCTGTTGTATTCTTTTGTTGTAGTTTATTGATATTTTTTCCATTGCCCCTCAAGAGCCGAGGTGACAATGGTGACAAGATGCCGGAACCGATGGCCTGTGTTTTTTCCCTTAGCGTGGCCGAGTGGCCCTTACCGAGATAAGGATGGCTTGCGATTTACCACCGTGGTCCTGGACCACTCCCTTGGGAATACGGCATGAAATCAATCTTGCATTTCGTTGCATTAGATCTATACAACGCTCAAATCTTGAGTAGATCTAAGACTCTCACAATTATGTGTGTATCAGTGCAACCGGCTTCCCTTGCGTGGAATTCCCCGAGCAATAGTCTGAGGGAAAAAGAAGAAAGAAACAAAGAAGAAAGGGCCACAGAGAGGGATTACCCGCAGTAAATCAAGAAAGTGTTCTTCGGTCAATGCGGTCAGAGCTGATATTATCGAAAATAGATTGGCTTTGACTGGTCGTGAGAACACAAGCGGGTGGTTCTCCAATCGATTGAAGCGGCATGAGCTCTTTTTGAGATACCTATCGGGATTGAAGATTTTCTCTCATCTAGGATATGCTCAAGAACTATCTCAGCCTCATTTACTTTCTTCTCCGAGTGTGAGCCATGAAGAAAGATAAAAGGAGTCCATTCGTCCATGTCTTCGAAGTATTCCTGACCATCATCTCAATCAGTCCTCTCTTCACATCATCCTCATTTCGACAATCATAACACACTTCCAATATCATCCAGTCAAGCATTGATCCGCCATCACAAGTCCAGCACTTCGAGCATTACCACATTCGACAACTGACAAGTTGTTGGCTGAATTCAGAAGAAGAGAATCGCGTTCGATAACCTGCATCTTTCATAACACTTTGGGTTCCAGTTTCTGGTAGTCAAAGAGCTCTTCCATCAGTAGCCATACTCAACAAGTCTCAATACCCACTCTACCTTCAACATGTTGTCTATCGCAGTTCAACCTCCCGCTAGAGCTCGCCCAGGAGCAATCTTGTATCCTCCTCTTATTGTTCAACTCAGTAGCGAACATGATTTGTATGAACATCTTGCCGGCTACTGGACCTGTGTTTCGCTCATCCATTACGCCAGCGGCCAAGTCATATATGAACAAATGGATGGTAAAGCCGCCGATTCCGCGCATCCAATTGCTCAAACCAGATTGAGGGGTGTTCGCGATCAAGCATACTTCTTTTTCCCAGATCTTGCAATTCACGCCACTGGCCGCTATCGTCTTAGAATCAGTTTGATGAGAATGGATTATTCTCCCGAGTCAGGTCCAGATGGTGCAGTTGTTTGCGATGAACAGGTGGATACACGGTCGATTACCGTGGAAGAGTCCGGTCCAAACTATACTCGACCGAGTAAGAATTTCTCTGATATTTATTTGGGGACAGATTTGGCTAACAGACGTAGATTCCCAAGAACGTGCTTTCATTCGAATGTTACGGGACGATGGACAAGATATTCCAACTCCAGCTCATTGAATGAGGTCGGAAACGCTGAAAATGTTGGAGAGTCTCACAACATGAGGTGGTATCGAAGTGCGGGGTAATGGGTGGGAATTCGGTCTTCATATTTGATGCGTTTTGGAATTTTGATTTTTGGGGGTTATGATTTTGGGATTTCTACATGGTTGTATGTTATCAGTATCATTCCTTTTTAGAGGAATATATACCATACTTATCTCTTGGTCTTTTGTTTGGATATAGACAAGACTTGGTATGGTGTAAGAAAAGAGGGGAGGTTATTGTCTTTCGGATCAGATATAATTGGTTGTTCGAATATGGATGGCGTTAAAAAGGAAAGGAATTTTCAATATCATTATCATGACATTTTGGATCGTTTTAAGAAAATATTAAGTACGAACTATCATGAATTAAAAAGTAACAATGATTTGAATTATGGTATTTGGAGGAGAACATGATGTTTTGGGTTGAAGAGGTAAAACATGAGAGAAGGTTGCAAAAGTGGACCTAGGTAGGAAATAAGAGGTATTTGACAGCTCTCCTTGTATGGAACGGTAGAAAGTGAGAGAGGGGGTGAACGCCAAGCCTTCCAATATGAGCTGCGGGGAAATGGAAGGATGTTTAGATCTTAATTAAGTCTAGTCTTTCTTCCTTCAAAAATTGAAATTCCCCTCGATATACGGTGTTACCGTTACTGTTACCATAAAAGTGGCTCGAGAGATGTGAAGTTCATGCTTGGCTTTGAACATTTTCCAGAATGAATTTTCGAATATATTCTGCCACGAAAATGCTATTATAGAAGGCGGTGTGGATTTACCACGTGTTTGACATCGGGCGGAACTTTCAGAGGTGCCGGAGGTGGGGTATAGTGTGGTCCTTAGATAGAAGGCACAAATCAGAAACGATTACTCGAGTAATGTAGAGTGGTAGTGGTCCTTAGATAAAAGGCAGAAACCACAAACGATCAATGTAATGTGGTCCTTAGATTAAAGGCAGAAACAACCACAAAGGCGGTAAACAAGTAAAACCAACAGAAAAAAAAAGCCCAGCACCTGGTTGAACCTGCAGAAAAATCCTTGAGGGGTTTCTAAAGTATTGAGTCACCAACAAGAATTATAAGAAGCAAAGACTCATAAATTTTTATATTGGGTTAGCCTACTCTAACATATAAAATCATTTACCTTCCCAACTTCACCATCCTCCCAAAGAGAAAAAGTATATCTTCTTCTTTTTCTCATGAATACTCTCTCTTTTCTCTTCCTCCTTTGACCTTGTCCCAACCATATGATCTTCACCTTTTCCATCTTGCGAAAACATCCAAACCATTGTCTAAAATTGATACCCACTTCAGTCCAAACTACCCCTCGATTTAAACCCCACCACTTCAATTCTTTTCGCACATTTACAACCACATTATACAAGATGGCGGCGACAGATTCGTCCTCAAACTTCATTTCCGAGAAGCTCAAGTCTTTGAGTGTCTCGGATCTCCCAAAATTCCCTAATTGTCACCCTGATGTCAACGTTGTCGATATCTACCGAGCTCACATTACTTCTACCTTGACTGAGATTACTGGTGTAGAATCTACCATCATCTACCGTGCATTAGCATGGACGAATACTTTAGACAAGGGTGACATAGTCTTACCTGTGCCAGCTTTGCGAGTCAAGGGAAAAAAGCCCAACGAGTTGGCAGAGGAATGGGCGGCCAAGGTATATCTGTCGCAACTTATTTAGATCATGAGATTTACTAAAACATTGATCAAAACAGTATCCTGAATCTCCTCTCGTTCACAAACCTACCACCAATGGCGTCTACCTGCAATTCTTCTTCAAAGCCGACAAACTTAATGAACTTCTCATTCCTACCATTATCCGACAAGGGTCGAACTTTGGAGAAAACAAATATCTTGGTCTCGTGGATCCAGAAGATCCATCAAAAGGACAAAAGAAGATAGTCATTGAATTCTCGTCCCCGAACATTGCAAAGCCTTTCCATGCAGGTCATCTTCGAAGTACCATCATTGGAGGTTTCTTGTCGAATCTTTACGCAGCAGTAGGATGGAACGTTACTCGAGTCAACTACCTTGGAGATTGGGGCAAACAATACGGATTGTTGGCTTTGGGCTTTGACAGATATGGAGATGAAGAAGCTTTAAAGGCAGATCCAATCAACCATCTTTTCCAAATCTACGTCAAAATCAACCAAGATGTCAAAGCCGAGGCTGATAAGATGGCAGCATTAGAGGCAGAAGGAAAAACAGATGAAGCATTGCATATCAAGAATGAGGGACTAGATGAACAAGCTCGTCGATATTTCAAAGCAATGACGGAGAATGATGAAAACGCAATTGCGCAATGGGCTCGATTCCGTGAACTCAGTATTAAGAGATATAGGGAGACATATGCACGATTAAATATTCATTTCGATGATTATTCAGGAGAATCCCAAGTTAAAGCAGAAGTAATGGAGGAGACCGGAAAGAAAATGGAGGAAATGAAGATTGCTGAAGAATCGCAAGGTGCTATGATTGTTGATTTCACCAAACACGTTCCAGGAAAGATTGGCAAAGGTCTTGGAAAAGCAATTGTCAAAAGAAGGGATGGCACAGCACTTTATCTTACTCGAGACATCAGTGAACTGTTGCAACGAAAAGAAAAGTATGACTTTGATCAGATGATTTATGTTGTTGCAACTGATCAAGAGTTGCATTTACAACAATTATTCAAGATTATTGAGCTTTTGGGTTACAAAGAACTTCGGGATAAGTGTCAACATATCAACTTTGGTTTGGTACATGGCATGAGTACTCGTCGCGGTACTGTCAAATTTTTGGATGACATCTTAAGAGATGTTGCTGAAAAGATGCATGAAGTTATGCAAAAGAATGAAGCTAAATATGAACAAATTGCCGATCCATTGGCTACTTCCGATATTCTTGGTATTAGTTCTGTCATGGTACAAGATATGAGTGGTAAACGGTGAGTGAATTGATTTTATAACCTATTCCCTTTTCGTAACTAAGAATCACAAACTAATTTTAAAATCAGTGTTAACGGTTATACCTTCAACATGGATACCATGACATCATTCGAAGGTGATACTGGTCCATATCTTCAATACGCCCACGCTCGTCTTTGCTCCATCACCCGCAAAGCAGCACTTACCGCAGAAGAAATCGCTTCAGCTGATCTATCACTTCTCACTGAAATCCACGCTCAAAACCTCATCAGAACTCTATCACAATACCCAGATGTCGTTCAAAACACGGTCAAGACCTTGGAACCAACAACTATTTTGACATATCTATTCAAGATGACTCACGTACTCAGCAGTAGTTACGATCATCTTAGAATTATGGGTAGTGAGAAAGAAGTCATGAAGGCTAGAATGGCACTTTATGATGCTGCTAGAGTGGTTCTTTATAATGGCATGAGAATTTTGGGATTGAGTCCTGTAGAGAGAATGTAGATGATGGTGTGGTATATGAGTTGACGAGTGGTATAATATGGCAAATATTTTTTGCTGAACGAAGTAAAAGTTAAGCCATGGTTTTGATAATTGGTTGCACGAGGATTAGAATCAATACGAGATCATAGTATAGGTTACAGAAGCGATCATTATCACTTAGAAAACTGAGAGTAGACCATACTAGGTACTTATTGATAAAATCTAAAATCTCAAATCTAAAATCTCAAACGCACGATCCGTAGCTTAAGACTAGACTCAATAGTAAAGTATTAAGTAAATCTATAAGATAATAAACTGTCTCGATTATTCTTTTCAATATGAAAATTATAAATCTAAAACTTAAGATCTAAGATATCGGTATATGCTTTTTCAGATAAAGGTGTGTTTTTTTTTTCTTCTATTAATATTAATATAAATATAAATATAAATATAAATATAAATATAAATATAAATATAAATATAAATATAAATATAAATATAAATATAAATATAAATATAAATATAAATATAAATATAAATATAAATATAAATATAAATATAAATATAAATATAAATATAAATATAAATATAAATATAAATATAAATATAAATATAAATATAAATATAAATATAAATATATATTAATTTGAAATTCATATTTCATTTTAAATATAGATAGTATTATGTTAAAGTGAATGGTTCCTGCGTAGCACGTGCACAGGGCACTAGTCCTGTTAGGACTAGATTGAGAAGCTCTCTTACCGAGAGCTTCGCATTTCCGTAGAACTTAGAAGAGAGATTA